AATGTACCATTATTGTATTCTATGATTACAGATATGCTTCCAAGGTTGCACCACCAGCTACTTCTTATGACATCCAAGACACGATCGGAATCAACAATCAACACATACGAACCATACTGGGAGAAGTTTCGCAGCTTTTGCATTAAGGCCAGAGTGAACTTCTTGCCTGCTGCAGATCTCACACTAGCACTCTACTTAGTGCACGCAATCAACCACAAGGCCACACTCCCCAGCGTACAGCTCACATGCGCTGCAGTCAGCTTTGCCCATCGTATGACAGGGTCAGCCAACCCAGCGAACGGCCCGTTCACAACGCAAGTCCGGGAGTACGCCAAACGACACTGCCCTCGGCCAACACGAGTGAAAGAGCCCGTCTCCCTTCATCAAGTCCAGGCAATGGCGGGACCTTTTCTCCAGTCAAGCGAACCAGGCACCTACCAGAAGGGCCTCATCGTGCTGCTCATGTACTCGGCCTTCCTTCGCTTCTCGGATCTGGTGTCAATCCAGTGGGAGGACATCCAATTCGAGGCTACGGCAATGTGGCTTCTAATTCCACACTCAAAAACCGATCAGGAGAGCAAGGGCGTATGAGTCCCCGTTGCCGCGACTGACGGACCATTCTGCCCCGTGCGGTGCACCAGGCACTTCATCAAGCTGGCGCAGTATGGGCCAAACACCAAAGGTCCGTTGATTCGTATTTTTCGACGCAACTCCCCGCCATCCTCGCAGGATACCGCCCCATCATACCCCACTATCCGCACGTGGTGCTTGCATGCGTTCCAAGCAGCTGGCATCGACCCTACACACCTCGGCACCCATTCATTCCGCAAAGGGGCAGCAACAGTTGCAGCGAGCACGGGCATCCCGGACCGCCTTTTCAAAAGACTGGGGCGATGGCGGAGCGAAACCGCGAAGGACCTTTATGTCACCATCTCACACGATCACCTCCTTGCTGCGTCGCGACGCCTCCACGACCAGGCGCATGTTCCATCCCCCTCGCAGCACGAGCGTGCACTTACTCGGCACCACCAACAAGCACTCACCATGTCTCAGAAAACCCAGTTGAAATGAGACGTTGCATTTGCAAGACAAACAACAAGCTTTCACAATATGTAAATTTTTGAAAGTGTGTAACACTTTCTAAAATTGTGTATTGTGAATAGCGAAGATATTTGTACCGAAGCAAAATGCTTCGGCGAACCGCTACTTCCCCTCTTTTTCGGTATAAAAGAGGGGGCGAAGGCCATTTGGCCTTCACCCACGTTTTTCATTTCAAACTTTTCAGTTTTCAAGTTCCCCACCCTCCCACCCTAGTTTAGTAGGGAATTCATTGTTGTTATCCTGTAAATTGCTTGGACGATAAAAATCTTGTACTTGCCAGTTGAAATGAGACGTTGCATTTGCAAGACAAATAGCAAGCTCTCACAATTTATAATATTGATTGATTTCCTGGAATGACAGAGCAGGGTATATATGTCAGTAGCTCACCCCATCAGGAGGGCCCTGTCCACACCAATAATCCTACACCGATAATTCTACCCGCCAATAATTCTTACCCTCCAATAATTCTGGCCTTCCAATAATTGTACAATTATTGGAGGGCTGGGAGTCTTATAAAGGAACACTACAGTAAGATCTAACAGCATTTGTAATATCTTATGTTGGTGTATTTAACACCTCTAACAAACAAAAAGTCCACACATGCATTTCACCCTAATAAACTCCCCCCGGAAGACTTTATATTCATGTAAGTATTCATCTACCTTACATGAGCATGCCCTGCCCACATATTAAACTACACCACGACGAGCATTGCAGTTGTGGAAGATAACTTGAATGTGTCTTACTGCTCAGCATTAACACGCTCAGCTTCATCTATCCATTCAGAGAACCTGCGTTGAACAGAGAGGGGATAATTTGATATATATCACCTCATTTCATGCAGAGATATGTGCATGAGTGACAGTGAACACATGAAGGCAGAGAGCGAGGAAAGAGGAGGGGCAAATGTCATGGATGTGTGAAACGACAGGAGGTGGATAGAGTGGACGCATGGGCCAGGATAGATTCAGAGGCAGGTCACGTACAGGTCAATCGGCTCGCTCAAATCTGTTGGTGATGCAGAGCAGCAGCGGACAATTATGATGAAGTCCAACGCCGCCAAGAATAAGGTGGTCCCAAGTTGAGCATTTTGTGACAGAAGTTGGATGGCAAGACGGAAAAAAAGGGCGGCAAGGAAGGTGGAGAGGAAAATGAAACGGGGGATACAGGGGGAAAGAATACGGGTAACTAAGCCACAACGACGGAAGCGATGCAGTAAAAACTGATGAGAAAAGACGAAAACCATAACGAAACTGGATGGGTGGATGGATGGATGGATGGATGGACAAACAGACGGATGGGCGGATAATTGTGCACGCACTGTCAATGGTGGTTTGGTACTGCTCGGAGCACACGCGGCACGACACCGTCCCTATGCCTGCATTTCGGTCCCTGCACAGCAACGCAACGCAATTGTCCAGCCAATCGTAAAAGTGATCGTCAGGGTGATTGGGAACAGAAAAGTGATCGAAATACCGGGACGCGATCAGACGAACGAGCCACGGATAGGCATGATAACATCCAATACTGGCTGAGGCAAGCGGGGCAAGCGAAAGCCGCTGTAGGCGCTTCAACGGCCAGCACGCTGTGTTGGACGGAAGAGGAACGCGGCTTATGGCAGTCAGAGAGATTAAGCCTGCAGTCGCGCGAAAGCACGTGGCGTTCACCCGTCGGAGGAATACGGAGTTCTGAAGGCGCAGTGCTGCGAATAGTTACTACTGCGCCCGTTGCACATACAGCGGACGCTCGTTCCACGTACAGCGGACGCTCGTTGCACATACAGCGGACGCTCGTTCCACGTACAGTTTGCACTCGACGCTGGCCTCGTGATTGCAGAACGGGCAGTTGAAAGTCGTCGGGACCTTCTGAACCCTCCTCGCCTCGGGCTTCGCAGCCGACTTTCGCTTCCCCATTTGCAGCGACTCGGACTCGGACGCGCAGACGAACTGCTAGCGGCGGCACTGGACTAAAAATTCTCAGAATTCTTAAGAACTTACTGAGTCGTCTCAGAGTCTCCTACTGGAGTTTGGCACTAGAGTCAGGCAAGGCGAAATAGCGGCATTCAAGCAGTCGCGACTATGCTAACTTGATATAATAAAATCCGTAAGAATACAACAACGAGTACTCGTAGGCTCTGCTTACGGGATACGTAGCTGTTAGGGACAAAAGATAAGGTTCTCTCTGGCAGTCTTCTGACCTAGTGACTCTGAAGGAGGAGCTAAAAGCCAAAAGGCGAATGATTGATGGTGAAGCGGGGAAACGAAGTCTGCGTGATATTAACCGAAACGAAAGGCTGTGCGCAATACGTCATGGACCTATCAGCGAAAGGAAAAACAAATGGTGGTGGTCTTTAATCTCTTCGCCTTACCTCAATAGTAGCAGCCGTGTCAGAGGTAAAGAAAGGGGAATTCCTTTGTTGGCCAATCCGATGAGTTCTGATGCGAACGCGACGGGATTTGCAACTATTTCTTCACGAAGTTACAGAGTACACTCGGACAAGCTATTTGTTGCACACAACAAAAGATTGTTTTCGCATCTGGTGCACGGCTGGTCCGTGAAGTGCATATGATTTTTTTGCCACGGACTAGGTCAGCACGGACCACTCACAGGAGAGTAGCCCTAAACTTTTGAGTGCCCCCTGAACTTATGGCAACTCCCAACCCTGACTGGACGAAGAAATATTGTCTGCTTCACTACCCCGAAGGGCCGGGCGTACCTGCTTCCAGGGAGGGGACGCGCCCTAAAATCTTCGTCCAGGAGTCGTTGACGGATTTTTTTCCCCATGCTGACGGAAATTCTTGACTTCTTGACGGAACCTTGACACGCGTTTTGCTTTCTCCAGAACCATCACTCTGCACCAGGATTGACGGCAGCTTCCCGCCAATTCACTCCACCATTTCGCATGCTGTTCATTTTTTGCTTCCAGCGATACAACATTCATTTTCCTTGCCGTCCTACCAGCACATATCCAGACATAGTATTTTTAGGTTGACATTAGTCGTGCGAAACTTGTTTGACTGCGCGCTTCGTAGGTAGCATCTGATCACGTCTCGGTGGCTGTAGGTCAGGTGTAACGGTCAGCGCGTCCGTTGCTGACGGTGCGATGAGCGTTCGTGATGTAGATCCGTTGTGACGATCAGCTCGTAGCTGTTCGTCATCGGCAACGAAAACCGTCAGGGTCCGTCAGTAACAGCCGGCAAGATGCTGGACGTCGCGCCGCTCACGTTCCTAGTGGTCTTCATCGTTTGTACCGTGGGAGCATGGATAGTCTCCAAGTAAGATAATAAATTAAATGCCAGCTTCTTGAATAATTTCCTATCAATTTCTCAAACACCAGAAGCTCCAGTGTCACAGATGCGACAGTGGCAGCTCGTTGCGCGTAATGTGAAAGATCGCTCCAGTTGATACAGATTGTACCGTCCCATTGTTCTCGTTTAATGCTTCACGGTTATCAGCCATATTCGTCTGGCATCACCCTGGTACTCAGGATAGCTAAAGCCTTGTATATCCACGTTGTGAAACCCCCGTATTCAAATTCTTCTGAACGCAGGTTCTTCACGCAGATCGTGACCCTCGCGATCAAGGTTACCACAGGACATTCGTTGAGCTTTCGCGTGCTCGGCCTCCTCAAGGTCAAGGACTTTCATTGCGCTTTCAAAAAGGTCCGTCTCTTCCTCCTCTTCACTCTCTCTCTTCACACACTCCCCCCCCCCCCCCCCCACAAGCACCCTCCGTTCCTGTTCCTTCTTGAACGAGCTCTAGAGCACACTGTTCCTATTCATCACTGAAGCATCTTGCTATACCCTGTCTTCACTCTCGCTTTCCCCAGATGCATACCGCATTGTTCGATACAATGCTGCGCATTTCATAGTACCACGCATTGTGTGATCCCAGGCATCATGCCATGCCACATCGTTCCTCCTTCCCACGTCTCCCATCCCCACCCACAACAACAGGGGCCCATACAGAGCGTGGCTATACGCGAGGTGAAGGGGCCACCTGGTGTGTTCTGAGTCGACTCAAAACACACTCAGAAACTCTCCCATGTCTCCCCTCACCCATCCACCACAACAACAGGGGCCCATACAGAGCGTGACTATACGCGAGGTGAAGGGTCACCTGGCATCCCTGAGCAGCCTCAAGCTGCGCCTGCGCGTCAAGATCAAGGACGTCGACATCGTTCTCCGCCCCTCGCCCCCCTCCACCTCCAAAAAGAAGAAAAAACCCTCCAAAAATGCCTCCAGCAGTGGAGGATCCTCAGCCAAGGGCCCGGCCAGGAAGGCCGGGGCGATTGCCGCCGCCTGGGGCCGGTGGAAGCTGCTGGGAAGCTTCTCCCGGGTGGTTCGGGTGTGCCTGTTTGACGTGTCTGTGCGGTGGGCTCAGGCCCCTGACGTGTGCTTCCAGCTGAGGGAATTCGACCTGTTCTCCATGGCTGATGCCTCGGGGAAAGGGCAGGTGGCTATGAGATTGGAGCTGCTAGGGATCTCGCTCTCCCATCGCCCCCCTGTTTCTGAGAAGAGCCCTGGGCTCCGATCGAGATCGATGAATCTGTTCAGGATTGGGGGTGGGGGTGGGGAGGAGGGGGGTGGGGAAGAGGAGTGGGATGGTGAGGGAGGAGGGAGGGGAAGAGGGAGTGTGGGAGGAGGGGAGGGGAGTGGGGAGGATTCGCTGCCGTTGATGCTGCTGGAGAGCTGGACGACTGATGTGGCGCTAGGGTTTGACAGGTCAGCAGTCTGTGAGCATTTTCATTGCAGGCCAGCGTTTTTATCACAGGTGAACTGTGTTAATCACACGTCAGCTTTTAAGAATCCTCAAAAGCTCTGACTCCTCTTCTCCCTCTCCATTCGCCCTCTCCATTCTCCATCCTCCCGCGCTCGCCCCGGGGGAGGTGGGCATAGCGTTGCGGTTGGTACAGCTGAACTGGTCGGAGCTCGAGCTGAACCTCTCGCCTCGTCCCTCACACTCCCCTTCTCCCTCTCCTGCTCCATTCTCCATCCTCCCTCCCTCACCCCCAGAGAGGTAGGCATAGCAGTGCGGCAGCTGCAGCTGAACTGGTCGGAGCTCGAGCTGAACCTCTCTGAACGTCTGCTCGCCCTGCGCATCGTCAAGGCCCCCAAGCGCCCCCCTGCCGCCCAGCCCCCTGTTCCTGCTGCACCCGTGGCTGCCGCGGCAGTTCCTGTGCTGGTGAACGAGAGAAAACGTCCCAACCTCCCAGAAAAGGTGCGGTGATGTTTTCTTGCTACTCAGGCTAGGGCAGGGCTTTACCTAGGCTTTGAGACCCTTTTGCATGCTGCACCTGTGGCAGCAGCAGCGCATGTTCCTTTGCTGATGAACGAGAGGAAGCGTCCCAACCTCCAAGGAGAAGGTGTGTGTAGTGCCTGGCCCCCAGCTCCTCTGGAGGCTTGCACCTCCTGCTCTCCTTTCTCCACTTGCTCCTCCTGCTCTCCTTTCCCACTTGCTCCTCCTGCTCTCCTTTCTCTACTTGCTCCTCGTGCTCTTCCTTCCCTGCAGCAGGTGCGAGCAAGAGTGGAAGTAATTATGTCTCGCATCATGCGCTGCCCCCCTCATCGCCCTTCTTCCCGTTTTCGCCCCATTTCCCCCCTGCACCAGGTGCAACTCACCCTACCACGAATCATGCTGCGCCTCTGGCACCACCGCTGCGGCCTCCTGCTGCGCAGCAGCTGCGGCCCCATCACGCTCTCCTCCACGCTCTCCCGGCCGGCTCCTGACCTCTCAGTCATCGAGGCTGATTTCAGCATCGGCATTGTGGAGGTGAGTGAGCTGATCGGGAAGGACGCTGATAGGGGTGATAATGAGACGCCTCAAGAACCATCACCCTCTCCTTTCTATTCTCTCCTGCCCGGCTCCTGATCTCTCAGTAATCGAGACTGATTTCAGTATTGGCATTGTGGAGGTGAGTTGATAGATAGCAAAGCGCGCTGATGGTATTGTGAAAGTGGGTGGGGTGTTGAATCTTGTGAGTCGTTTTCTACGAGCCACTTTGCCGTTCCACACCGTCACCCCACCTCTACCGATCGCCCCTCCCCTCTCCCACTCGCTCCTCCCCTCTCCCACTCATTCCTCGCCTCTCATCCCTCCCCATTCTTACTCATTTCTCTCCCTTCCAACTCATTACTCCCCTCTCCCACCCATTCTTCCCTACTCTCCCTCGCACCCCTCACCACCCCTCCCCTTCCCCCCTCTGTTGTCTTCCTGCCACCCATCTCCCCAGGTTCTGAAGAGTGCCGAGGGTAGTGCCCTGTCAGTCATGCGTGTATCTTCATCAGCTTGCCTCTCCTTCCCACACTATGTGAGCCAGCGTGCCTCTTTCCCATGCTAAGTCAAATCTGCCTCTTTATTCTGCGTTATGCCAGTTTACCTTGCCCACATTTCGTTGCTCTCTTCTTGTGTTTTGAGCTCTCCACCCAGCCACCCCACCTCCTCTTATCGCCCATTATCCTCAAACCCTTTCCCCCACCGTTGCTTCCTCCATCAGACGGCAGAGGCAGTGCGGGCAGAGGTGGACGTAACTCAATCAGCCGTGGACTGGCGGGTGTTCCCTGCTACTCTCTCCCCATGGGTGCCCCTCCCTCACTCCCCGATTTCACCACTTCCAACCGCCCTGCACCTCCATTCTTCCCCACCGTCTCCCTATCCCTCCCGCAGGCGGCAGAGGCAGTGTGGGCAGAGGTGGACGTGAATCTCTCAGCCGTGGACTGGCGGGTGTTCCCCGCCACCTTCGCCCCATGAACGACTCATCCTTTCACCACTCTCAATCGCTCTGCACCTTTCTTCTTCCCTCTTTCAGACGGCAGAGGCAGTGCGGGCAGAGGTGGATGTGACTCTCTCAGCCGTGGACTGGCGGGTGTTCCCTGCCACTCTCGCCCCATGGGTGGCAGCAGCACTTGAGGAGATGCACAGGAAGAAAGCAGCAGCACTCAGGCGTCAACACTTGCAACTGCAGCAGGAGCTGCTGGAACAGCAGCAACAGCAACAGCAAGGGTATCTGGAAGGTATTCTATCGCCACGTGCCAAAGCCAGAGGCGCTTCGCGAAAATCTGATTCACCGCTAGGCAAGAGTGCAGTAGCAGCAGGGGAAGCAGGAGGCGGAGGAGGAGGAGGAGCAGGGGTACCAGGAGCAGCGACAGCAGAGGCAGCAGCAGTGGCGGAGGTTCCAAAGCCAAAGAAGCCAAAGCGGCCGTTCAGGCTTGAGGCAGTGGTGGGAGCAGTAGGAGCAAAGCTCACAGTACATGATTATGACGGCACCCCTCTCTATAAGGCCTCTGCTGCCAAGTTCCACCTCTTCCTCTCCAAATCCACTGGCTCCCCCCCTGCTGCTGCTGCTGCTCCACACTCCTCTGCTTCGACCCCACTGGGGCCTGATTCGCCTGGTTCTGCTGCCGGTGGTGGGAAGGCAGGGTGGGGCAGAAGCAAGGGTGGGCGGTACTCGTTTCTGAGCCGGTCTGGGAGTGTTCTGGGCGGGGGGGCGAGGGGAGGAGGGGGGGCTGCAGGAGCGGGAGGAGGAGGAGGAGATGGAGCAGCCGCTGCAGCCAACAGTCCTGGGGTTTCCAGGACTAGCAGCAGGGCGGAAGCAGCAGCAACTAGGGCGGGTTTTAGCAGGTCTACGAGCTGCTTTGCTGCCAGTCCTTCTGGTCCTGGTGGTGGTGGTGGTGGCTTTGGTAGGGGCTCTGCCTCCGCCTTCCCTTCCTCGTCCACCATCCCCGCTTCTCCTGCTGCTGCCGCCGCCGCCGCTGCTGCTGCTGGGACTAGCACTGCTGCTGGTGCTGCAGCTGATGGTGGTGAGAGTGTGATGGAGGTACAGGTAGAGTATTCAGGTGTGCAGGTGGCACGTCTGCCCAGAGAAGAGGATTTCGCCAGGCTTGCTGAGGCACACGGTGCTGCCAGTGCTGCTGGTGCCGCTGCTCCTGCTGCTGCTGCTGCTGCTGCTGCTGCGGCTGCGGCTGCTGTGCCTCGGGAGCAGGTGTTTATTCAGGTGTCGCGCCTGGGAGTAGAGTGGGGCCCTGGGATCCCCGACAACTGGGAAGAGCTTGGGGATTCATCCGGTGAGAAGAGAGGGGGGGAGTCATCAGGAGCAGCAGAAGCAGGAGCAGGAGGAGAATCAGGAAGGGGGATAGGAGTAACAGGGAGTGCCAGTTCCCCTGGTAGTGGCTCTGGTGGGGACGCATATAGAGCGGTCAGTGGAGGGGGGAGTGGGGGGGGGGGGGGGGGGCGGGGGAGGGGGGATACTAGACAAGGTGATGATGGTGCAGGTGGGGGTGCGGGGGCTCAGGCTGCGCCCCTCCTTCCCCCTCCTGGGATCGATTGCAGAGGAAATCACCCGAGCAGAGCAATTTGTCAAAAGGGAGAAGAAGAGAGGTGCTAGCACAGCGGGTGCTACTGCGGGTGGGACTGATGCTGCCGCTGGTAAGGAGTCAGGCAAAGGGAAGAGCAAGAGCAAGAGCAAGGGGAAGGGTAAGGGCAAAGGTGTGAAGGCGTTTCGGATAGTCCTGGACGACTCGCTCCTGGAGCTGGAGTGTCCCTGCATGGTGATTGAAGCGGACGTGCTAGACCCAAAGAAAGTTCACTTTGGGGATGAGCTGGGGGAGAGAGTGTTCCACCTCACCCCTGAGGGAGACCTTCGAGTGGCGAAGGTTAGGAGGTTTGAGTGGGAGGGGGTTGAGCATGCGTCTGTGGTGTGTGCGTTGCGGGTGGAGCTGCCTTCGGTGTCGGTTGGAGGGAGAGTGGGGGGAAAGCAGGTGCAGGTTGGGGTGGAAGGGGCGAGAGTGGTGTATGTGGAGAAAGGGGAGGGCGGGGAGGTGGGGAGTGCGGTGCGGAGCGGTGGAGCTGGGTGTGGGAAGGGGGGTTTGGAAGGGAAGGGAGGGGAGGAGAAGAGGGTGGGGAGGGAGGGTGGGAGGAGGCAGGATGGGGTGATAGCAGAGGTGGTGGTGTGCCGGTTACAAATGGCACACGTTTTGCTTCGGAAAGGGCTCCTAGGTCCGGACGGAGGTCCGGCGCCCGACCGGGTGGTGGTTACCGCAGCTGGGCTGGAGGCTCGGTGGGAACCGGACGTACAGGTACTGGTGGTGGAAGTAGGGGAGGAGATGAAGGAGGTGACGGGTCGGAGAAAGGCAGCTATAGAGCAATGGCGGGCGATGGCAGAGAGAGAAGGGGAGACGGAGCAGGCACGGGTGAATCAGCAGCAGGCGCAGGAGAAGGCAGAGCAGGAGACACAGCAGCGGGTGCAGGAGCAGAAGGGAGGGAAGGGAGAGGGAGGGGGTGCAGGGAAGCTAGTCACAGCAGGTGGTAGTCTGGATGCGAGTCTTCTTGGGAGAGAAGGTGGGAACCAGCTAGGTGCAGCAGCAGCAGCTGGCAGCAGCAGCAATAGCAACACACCCAGGCACAGCAGCAGTATGGCAGCGTCGTTGCCGCCAATGGGACCCAGTGGAGAGGGCAGGCGCTCCTTTGGTGTTGCCAAGTCCGCCGGTGCTACTGTTGTGATCGAGGGTGGTGTGGCGGGGCTAGGAGCGGCTGGGAGTGGTGCCGGGGGTGGTATCTGGCGCAGGAACAGCGACAGCTGCGTCGGTGGCGCAGGGGCATCATCATCAGCATCGGATACCGCTGCTGCAGCTGCAGCAGGAGCAGGAGTAGCAGCAGCAGCGGCAGCGGTTGCTGGCGATTCCGCAGGCCCGTCCAACCCGAGCAAGCCCGCAAAGGCAAAGAAGCCGAAGCCAGTGGTAGCGGTGGATGTGACGGGGGTGGTGGTGACGGTGGGGATAGGCGACGAGACAGAGATGCGTGTGGAGGCCAGGGGGCTGTTCTCAGAGGACGCGGCCATGGGGGCGCTGCTAGAGGGGCTAGCGTTGCGCATCAACGGTGCAGCTATGCTCTTCAGCGAGTCGTTCCAGGTGAGATGTTTATCTGAGCGCCTCAGAGATGGTATTGATTGATGATTGAGACAGAGATGTGCATGGAGGCCAGGGGGCTGTTGTTCTCTGAGCACATGATATGATATGATATGATATGATATGATATGCATCAATCCATCTGTTACCCCCCCCACCTTTCCCACTCCCGACTCCCCTCCCTCAACCTACCTCCCGCCAGGTTTCTCGTGTGCCGAGTGCAACGCCAGTGGTGGTCGCACCTCCCTCCACCCCACCACCCCAGCCAGGAGAGAGCACGCCCACAGTGTGGGACTATGTCATCCAGGCGAGCTCATCGCGCTTCATCCTGCCCATCTCCCCACCCTCCCCCCCAGGTCTCACGCGTGCCCAGTGCAACGCCAGTGGTGGTTGCTCCTCCATCCGCCCCCCCACCACAGCCAGGAACGAGCACACCCACAGTGTGGGACTATGTGATTCAGGCGAGCTCGTCGCGCTTCATCCTGCCGTTCCAGTTTGAGGTGCGGGCAGTGGAGGACAGTGCAGAAGACATGATGCGCGTGCTCAAGGCTGTCACTGCTGCTCAGAAGATGGCCCGCCAGGCCCGCCGCTTGCGCCAGGGGAGAGCCGCTGCTCCTCCTGGGTCAGGCCCGGCAGCAGCAGTGGCCGATTCAGCAGCCCTGGCTGCTGCAACAGCTGCAGCCGCCGCCGCCGCCGCTGCTGCTGGATCAGGCCCGGCAGCAGCAGTGGGCGATCCAGCAGCACTGGCCGCCGCAACAGCTGCAGCCGCCACAGTGGCAGAAGCAGCGGGCGTGATCCCCCCCACCGTCCCCTCCTCCTCCTCCGCCCCCAAGCCCAAGAAACCCCCTGCGAGTCAGAAAGGCCTCATACGCCTTATAGTGAAAGAGCTGCTTTTAGAGGTGGAAGAGGAGCCGATTCAAGGGTGGCTGGATGAGAGGAGGCAGCTGATGAGACCGCTGGTGGAAGATAAGTTGGTGAGAGAGAGGTTGCTGGAGGAAGAGGAGGAGAATCTGATGGGCGGGGATATCTTCCCCGCTGGTTTGGAGGGGCTTGTTGGGGAGGTAGCAGGGGGGGGGGATGGGGAGAAGTCTCCTCAGGATGTGAGAGGAGGAGTGGGAGGAGCAGGGGGGAAAGGGGTGAGTCCGCAAGTGTTGGCAGCAGCAACGGCTGCAGCAGAAGCTGTTGGGGCTACGCAGGTTACGGGTGAAACGAAGGGAACTGCGGCCAGGTTGAAACTTTTCCGGGAACGTTTCCAGGCTGCCCGGGAGGATCTGCACCGGCGGGCATCCCTGGCGTACAAAGCAGCGTGCGAAAACCTTGTGAAGGATCCGGGCACGGGCTGGGCGTATAAAATCGGGCTGAATGAAAAGTTTCCGATGACCACCACCCGAAGAAGCGCTGCTAGCTTGTGGTTCGCGTTTGCAGAGCTGGCTCTGATACCAATAGAGCACGGGCGGCAAGGCATGGTGGCGAAAATTCGCGAGCTTGACACTGTTCCTGCGTCGGACAAGGTCCCCATTGCCAGGATGTACGGCCGGGCAGTGGAGCTTTCGTGCGTGGGACTGAAATTCTCCCTGAGGGATTTCCCGTTGCCGCTGTTTGCGGCTGCTTCCGGGAAGCTTCGTGCAACGGCGATTATGGCAGCGCAGGCCACGGTGCACCAGCCGCAGCAGAAGTCCGACGTGTTTCTCGGAAGGTTCCGCCGGGTGACGGTGCTGCGAACGGCCAGTGGCGCCACCCCTCCATTGAAATTCTATTATGAAGCCGAGGCTGAGTTTGAATCAGCAGATTTGTCGTACGGGGTGGGGTATGAACCCATGCTGTTCGCCGACGTGAGTTACGCGGTAACGTGCGCTGTGAGGAAGGGCCAGCCGACGATGAGGCAGGCGAAGGTGATTGCGGCGGCTGCAGCGGCGGCAGCAGCAGCTGGGGTACCCTACCCTCCGGTGCAAAACACCCTCTCTGTGCCTGCTCTTGCGGCTGCAGCTGATCCTGCTGCGGCTCCTCCTGTGTGGCCACCTGTGGAGAGGAGCTTGCCCTGGTGGGATATTATGAGGTACTACATGCACGGGCATGCGCAGCTCGTAGCACTCGACTATCAGGTGTTTCTTCAGGCTACTGTGGACCCATACGAGCAGAACGACATGCTCACACTGGTCGGGTCCCGGCTTGTTTTCTCCCAGAAGAAAGGGCAGATGTTTGTGCGAGGGGAGGATCTAGAAGCGCACATGTCGAGCGTGCCGGAGGATCCGTTACGTAAGGCAGATGCGTGGGTGAGAGAGGGGGGGTCGATGGGGATTGGGAGGGGAGCAGGCGGCGAGGGCGGGCGGTGGGAGGGAGACGAGTTTCTCAGGGCGCCGGCGATCGAGACGCCGGTTTTGGAGCTGGATATTCGGATAGACTGGGAGGTGGAGGGGAACGGGGACGCGTGCGCGCATTACCTGCACGCGCTGCCGACGGAACCGGGCATGAGAACGGTTCTGTACGATCCGTTCCGGTCTGTGGGGATGAACTTCCGGTGGGACTGGCGGTTTTTGTCCAAGGAGCAGGCGAGGGTGATTCACAGCAAAGGGGAGAAGAAAGGGAAGAGCAGTGTGGGTGGTGGTGGGGTGAGGGTGGGTCGGAGCAGCAGTGCCGTTGATCTCCAGGCTGGTGGCCCCACTGCTGCTGCTGCTGGCGCTGCTAGTGCTGGCAGCGATGCTGCTGCTGCTGCTGCTGCGGGTGTATATGGTGTTTTAGGCAGGCACACACATGGATCACTGGCAGTACCAGCCATACCGCGCTCCACCTCTCTGTCTTCTGCTTCGTTCTCCCGGGCCTCCTCCTCCTCCTACCGGTTGCAGGAGGACGAAGATTTCTTCTCAGGCAGCTCAACTGCCCAATGGTCAAGCAGTGGCGGGTCGATCCCGTCCGTTGGATTCGAACCCGGCGGCGCATCGCAGCCTGGTGATTGGCCGAGAGGAGGGGGCGGAGGAGGCGATTCAGGGGGGGGGTTGAGTGCAAGCGGACTTGGACACTCGCAGAGACACAGGAGAACTTCATCGGGTAATATACCTTGGCATGTGGGAGCAGGGAATTGGGGAGGCGGAGGAGAAGGAGGGGGGGGTAGTGGTGGGGGTGCAGGTGCTGCTGCCGTGGCTGGCGGTTTTGACAGCCCACGCATCGGAGGAGGAGGAATCGGAGGAATCGGAGGAATCGGAGGAATCGGAGGAAGTGGAGGGATCGGAGGAGGGTTTGAGGTTGCTGGGGGGGGAGTCCGCCAGCCGACATTCAACCTGGCGAGCCACGACATCAAGTGGCTGTTCAAATTCTACAACCTCATGTACCTCTCCTCCCACAAGCTCCGGAACTTCGGCCGCCGCCGCTACGGCATCGCGAGGAAGCCCAAATCCGGGAACCTGAACCTCAGCCAGGTGATGTCTGAGATGCTGATTCGCCTGCATATTGCCCCCGGGGCGTGGCGGCACTATTCGTTTCGGAATCCGGACCCGGCGGAAGGGCTGGTCTTGCTGGTAGATGAGTTGGTGTATGAGTTGTGCTATAGCAGGAATTTGAAGGCGTGGGATGGGAAGACGAGAAGGCCGAGTTTTAAGACGGCTCATACGGGGCTGGATGTTGTGCGGATGAGGATTGTGGTGGAGGAGCCGGGGAGTGGGGAGGGGGAAGGGGATGGGCAGGAGGGGAGTGGGGGGATGGAGGGTGGAGGTGGGGGAGGGGGAGTGGGGAGAGGGGGTGTTGGTGGGACGAGTGAGCGGGTTCTGGAAGGGGATGAAGCTTCTGAGAAGATTCTGGAGTTGTTGATGGGGGAGGATGAGGTGGGGGGAGGGGGAAGGGAGGGGGTGGTGGGAGGGGTGGCGGGGAGGGGCGTATCAGGGAAAGGTATGATTATCAGGCGAAGCACTGGCGGCAGCAGCTTCGGATGGGGGGGAGGGGGAGAGGGAGGGGCGCTAGGGGAGGAAGCAGGAGGAGGGGGGAGAGGCACGGGGGCAGCAGGATTCAGGAGCGGCAGCAGCGCGGGGGGCGGGACGGTGGGGGAAGGATGGACAAAGGCGGATCAGAGCTTCTTGATGTCATGTGATGGGGTTATGATCCGCAAGCAGGCGCCTGACGGGAACGCGGAGCAGATTCAGAAGTGGCGCGTGGGGGAGGGATGGAAGGGATGGCTCATGGGGGCAGCAGGTGGTGGTGGGGAGGCGGGGGGAAGGGGAGCAGGAGGAGATGGGGAGGGAAGTAAGAAAGGCAGCAGCAGCCGGATTAGCGATTTTGAAGCGGAGGGGGAGGGCTCGGAGAGTGACGGGGACGAGGGCGAGGAGGAGGATGAGGAGGAGGAGGGTGGGGAGGGGGAGGACGAGGGGGAGGCGGAGCAAGATCTAGCTGACATTCTTGCTCTACTAGTGGCAGATGACTGCTGGAGGATCCTGGTTCCGGGGCTAAGGCTCCTTCTCACTATCCGCAACAGAGACGCCCTGTGGGCGTGGATGGCGGAGTTCCAGCGCGGATTCGCGTCAGACAAGCCGTCCCCGTCGCGCCAGCTGGCGCAACGCAAGCGGCTGGAGGCGGCGGGCGGGGTGCCGCCACCGGTGGTGGGGGCGGCGCTGGTGGCGGCTCAAGTGGCGGCTCAGATCGCAGCAGAGAAGGCGGAGAAAGAGGCAGCAAAGGCTGCTGCTGCCGCTGAGGCTGCTGCGGCAGCGGCAGCAGCGGCAGAAGCACAAGCAAAAGCGGGGGGAGGGGATGCGGCGGGAGTGGCGGAGGGTGGACAGGCGGGAGGGGGAGGTGGTGTGGTTGGTGCTGCTGCTGCTGGGAGTGCTGCTGACGGTGGTGGTGGGGGAGGGGGAGGGATGGGGGCTGGGGCGGCAGGTATGGGGATGGGGGGAGAGGAGGATAACTGCAGGTTGAACTACATGATCAACATCATTCGGCCGCAGTTCAACTTCCACTCTGAAGACGCGCACGTGAGTTGTGAAACGCGAGTGTGCGTTGTGGAGTGCGCTCGTGCATTGTGGATTGCCTTTTGTAGTACCCCTCATCTTTCCCCTCACTTCAACATCATTCGGCCTCAGTTCAACTTCCACTCTGAAGACGCACACGTGAGTTGTGAAACGTTCATGTGAAATGCGCATGTGAGAGGCTTGTGCGTTTCTCTCATCATGTCAACTCGCCCCCCCTCTCCCCCCCCCCTCTCCCCCGTTTCCCCAGGGTCGTTTCCTCCTTGCTGCCAAGAGCGGCCGTGTGCTCGCTCGCACCTTCCACTCAGTCTTTGCCGGGGCCATTGAAGCCCTGGCTGCTATCACTCCTCCCCCTCCTCCTCCCTCCTCCATCTCCTCCGCTCCTCCTACTCTTTCCAGCACCGGCACCCCTCCCTCCACTGTCCCTCCCTCCCCGCCCTCCGCCTCCCATGCTTCTACCTCGTCCTCCTCCGCTCCTCCTCTCTCTGCCCTTAGCATTTCAGACTCCACTCCTCTTGCACCTGGCTCAGTGGCAGCAGGAACAGCAGGAGCAGCAGGAGTGCCAGTGACAGCACCAGCAGGAGGAGCAGGGAACGGCACAGGGGCAGGAGTAGCGGCAGGGATAGGAGCAGGAGGAGCAGGAGAAGGAGTGGTATTGGCAGGAGGAGCTTCAGCAGTAGCAGGAGCAGCAGCAGCAACGCCAGCAGCAGCAGCAGCAGCAGCAGCAGCAGCAGCAGCAGCAGCAGCAGCAGCAGCAGCATCCCTTGCCCCTCCTCCACCACACACATCTGATATCATGCCAGGGTTCGGTGATGACCTGGACACGATTCAGTGGAACCGGCACGAGCTGGCAGTCATGCTGGAGAACGTGCAGGCCTACGTGGCACCCACTGACGTGGACCTGACAGCTGGCGTGCAGTGGTTGGCCCATGTGCCCATGGGTGCGGGGAGGAGGGGGGGAGGGAGAGGAAGGGGGAGGGGTGGGAATGGGAGGAGGAGGGGTGGGGGGATGGGTGGGAGGGGGTCAGAAGGGAATTTTTCTGTTGGTGCCACAAGTGGGGATGGTAATGGTGACGATGGCGATGGTGCTGCTGGTGCTGGGCCGAGCGGAGTGCTGTTGCTGGGAAGAGGGGCTGCTAGTAACGGAGATATGGAGGGCAGTCATCTGCTAAAGCAGGTGTTTCAGCCGTGCACCATGTACCTGGAGTATACGCGATACAAGAGCGGATCACAGGGAGCCCAGGTGAGGAACACACACTGATGATCACAGAATACCATGCACCATGCACCATGCATGCACCATGCACCATGCACCATGCACCATGCATGCACCATGCACCATGCATGCACCATGCACCATGCACCATGCACCATGCACCATGCACCATGCACCACCGTGGAGTGCACCATGTACCTGGAGTACACGCGATGCAAGATCGGGTCTCAGGGCGCTCAGGTGAGGAATGTTGCAGGCTCAACTTCCCAAGTTCGTGCTCAGTTCAGGTGATCTCAACTCAAGTTCACAGCACAAAGGGACCTTAACCCCCAAACCATTGTGTTTCTGATGCATAAGAAGCCATCGAAGGACGTGAATGCCTGGCAGCATGCCCACTTGCAGCGTCAGGTTCGAACCTGGCAGCATGCCCACTTGCAGCGTCACTGCCACCAGAACCACCCACCTAATCTCTCCCACTTCCCTGCCCCCAATTCGCCTCACTTCTCCCCCTTCGTCCCCTTTTTCTGTGTCTGCAGAAGAAACCGCTGAAGGAAGTGAGTTTCAGTGTGCCCAACATCACGGCCACCATGACCTCCCAGCAGTTCCAGACCCTCACCGACATCATCATGAACCTTGCGCTCGCGCCCACGCCCAAGTGAGTGACATGTGCCATCATCGCACCCAAGCCCAAGCCCTGTTCCTGTGCCTCATTTCAGCACGCTATCACTCCTCTCCCTTCCAGACCCTCACCGACATCATCATGAACCTTGCGCTCGCGCCCACGCCCAAGTGAGTGCCACGTCACCACTCATATAATGTAGTTTTGAGACGTCTCAAAACCACGCCCAAGTGAGTGCCACGTCACCACTCATATAATGCGCCAACCAAGCAAGAACCATCTTCACATCCCCTCTCTCCTCTCTTCTCTCCTGTCTCCTCTCACTTCCAAACCCTCACCAACATTAAAGAGTCTTGACCCTCGTGCTTCCTCCCTTCACATGCACACACGCACCTCTCCTCTCTCCTCCCGGAGCCCCCTCCTCCTCTCCTCTCCTTCTCAACCCTCCACCCTCCTCCCCTCCTAAATTCAGGCTGAAAATACCGAAGGTGCAGCCATACGCAGACGAGGACGAAGAAGAAGAGGAGGAGTACGGGTTGCGCCCGGACGGAGTGAAAGCAGAGGTGGTGCAGCGGGCAGTCAACACCCTCATCCAGGACCTCTGGAGGAGAGGAGGCATAGGTCTTGACCCTCGGGTTTCCTCCCTTTCCATGCACTCCCCACCCCCCCACCCCACCTCCATTCAGACTGAAGAAACCGAAGGTGCGGCCCGATGCGGACGAGGACGAGGAAGAAGAGGAGGAGTATGGATCCTGGCCGGACGGAGTTCCCGAGGTGGAGGCGGCGGAGGTGAAAGCAGAGGTGGCGCAGTGGGCAGTGAACGCTCTCATCCAGGACCTCTGGAGCACTGCTGCTCTCACCGCCTCCAGGGTTCATGGGCCCGAGCTGGCTCATCCAGGGCTCCTGAAGGAGAGGAGTACGGGTCTTGACACTTGTGTTCCCTTCCTTCCAACCCCCCCTCCCCCTCTCCCCTTCAACCAGGTTGAAGAAGCCAAAAGTGCGGCCCGACGCAGACGAGGATGAGGAAGAGGAGGAGGAGTACGGGTCGTGCCCCGACGGAGTTCCCGAGGTGGAGGCGGCAGAGGTGAAAGCAGAGGTGGCGCAGCGGGCAGTGAACGCTCTCATCCAGGACCTCTGGAGCACAGCGGCTCTCACCGCCTCCAGAGCTCACGGGCCTGAGCTGGCGTTTGCTGGCAGCTGGGACGGAGGGGGAGGAGGAGGGGGGAATGCGGGTGTGTTTGGGTCGGGGCGGCTGGTTCTGGAAGAGGAGGATCCGAATCACAAGAGTCTTGTGCTTGCGCCGCCCATGGTGCTGGTGAGTGTGTTGTTCCCCTGGTGAGGTGAGTGGGTCGTTGGTGTTCATGTTGTGCCTTGCAGACTGCTGCCCTTTCTCCAACTCGGCCCTCCCGATCTTCGCAACCTCCCTTTCTCTCCCTTCCCCCCCCTGGGCTGGTTGCCACACTGACGGAAAGAGCATCTCGTGCGCACAGCTGACTTGCTGGCGCCTTCTGAAACGTCTAGATACTGATTTTCTCCCTATCCTCTGTCCGTCTGTTGAGTCGACTCAGAGGGCACGCAATCACTGTTCATGTTCTCATCCTCCCATCCCTGTGTCCTGTGCGCAGAGCTGACTGACTGGCTTGCGACTTCGGGAACATTTAGTTTCTGAAACGTCTACTAACTAATTTTCACTTTATCATCCTCTCAGGTCGCTTCTCTCAAAGGAGAGTACCTCGTGCGCAGAGCTTACCTGCGGGCGAATTTTTTGAGACCGCTAATTATTGTTGTTTTCCCCTCGTCATCCTCTCACCCACTCACCCCAGGTCGCTGCTCTTAAAGGAGAGTACCTCGTGCGCAGAGCTTACTTGCGGGCGGCGAGGCAGGAGTGCCGGGCGGCGGTGGGGCGGGCGGCACGGCAGCAGCGGGAGAAGCAGAAGCAGCCGTCTTCAGCAGTGGCTGTGATATGGACCATCGACCGGGCGGCGTGGTCGCTGCTGAGTGATGGCCACGTGTTTGCAGAGGCAGAAATTCAGCACATGGTGAGTAATCAACTGGTTGGGGGGCAGCAGTGGTGGTGATTTGGACCATCGACCGGGCGGCATGGTCGTTGCTGAGTGATGGCCACGTGTTTGCAGAGGCTGAGATCCAACACATGGTGCGTGAGTGGGGCAAGTGTTGATGCTTCGACTCATGGGTGAGAATGGTTTGAGCAGTAGAGGGAGAAGCCTGGTCAAAGGGACGGCTTTGTGAACGCATGGTGAGTGTGTGGCGGGCTGATTGGGGGCAGCAGTAGAGGGAGGGAGAAGCAGAAGCAGCCGTCGTCGGCAGTGGCGGTTATCTGGACCATCGACCGCGCGGCATGGTCGCTGCTGAGTGATGGCCACGTGTTTGCAGAGGCAGAGATTCAACACATGGTGAGAGGCTGTGGAGGGGGATACTGGGAGATGGGTTTGCACTGCACTGCACTGCACTGCACTGCACTGAGAAATGGCCATGGCCACATGGACAGGGACTTCAGTGACATAGGCATCGTATGGCTCTCCATGTTGCACCCCCTCTCCCTCCCCCCACTCTTTTGCCCTTTTTACTACACACCGTCTCCCCCTCCCCTCCACCCTCCCACATCAGTTGCTCAACGTGGACAGGGACTTCAGTGACATAGGCATGGCATGCTTCTCAATGTTGCGCCCCCTCTCCACACAACCCCCCCCCCCCCACCACTTCTTTTCGCCCTTTTTACCACACACCGTCTTCCTACCCCCTGCTCCCCTTTCATTTCCTATCAGTTGCTCAATGTTGACAGGGATTTCAACGACATAGGCATGGCGTGCTTCGTCATCAAGTCCATCGCTGTTCGCAACTGTCTGCCTCAAGCCAAGTCGCGCCTCGTGCTCTCCGCCTGGAACCCCCCTCCCGACTGGTCCCGGTCAGTGCCCGCCCTACCTATCACTCCCTCTCACTCCCCTTCACCCCCTCTCACCGCATCCACCTTCTTGTCCTGTTTTTGATCCAAGCCAAGTCTCGCCTCGTGCTCTCCGCCTGAAACCCCCTCTCCCGACTGGTCCCGGTCAGTGCTCGCCCTACAACCCCCCCACCTACTTCACCCCCCACACTTCGTCTCCGCTGCCCCTGTCTCTCACTCTCTCTCGCCGCTTCCACTCCGTCTCCCCTACTCCTGTAAGCTAAGTCCCGCCTCGTGCTCTCCGCATAAACCCTCCTCCCGAGTGGTGCCGGTCAGTGCCTGCCCTCGTCCAATCAAGGTCAAGTGATGGGCAAGATAGACAATCGAGGTCGTTGGTGTCTCCCTTATTTCCTTCCTCTCACGTCGTTCGTCTCTCGCATCTTTCCTCTCTTCCCTCATCCTCGGTTGTCGCATTCATCACGTCATTATCCCTGTTCCTTCTTCCCTTGCCCACCACCCCCACCCCCTGGGTGTTGGAGACATGGCATGATCCTAGTGGCCTCCTCATCCCCCTTCTCCTCCCCCATCCTACCCCTTTCTTTCCCCCAATGCCTCCTCGCTATGCAGACATGCAATGATCCGTGTGGTGGGCAAGATAGGCAAGCCTGTGGACGGTGTTTCCCCCATTGAGACGTTTGAGGTGAGATGAAACGCCTGAGGTGAGATGAAACGCCCCAGGTGAGATGAAACGCCAACAATTCTGCATGGAATTTACTGCCTGTTGCCAATTCTCGCTGCCTCTGCCGATGCGGTCTCCCCGCCACTGCGCATCCACCTGGCAGAGGAAATGTGGGCTGCTGGGAGGCATTATTATGAAGTAATTCTTTACTCTCTGTTTGAGCATGTGCGTGCATATGTGCGCATGAGCAGGTGTGTGAAGAGGCAATTTTTGAGTCGACTCAAAAATCAAAAATCGCCTTTTGAGTCGACTCAAAAATCAAAAATCGCCTTTTGAGTCGACTCAAAAATCGCCTCTTCACTCATGAGCAGGTGGAGATCTACCCGCTGCGAGTTGACTTTTGAGTCGACTCAAAAATCTACCCGCTGCGCATCTACCTGACAGAGCAGATGTATCATGTATCGAGTGGTGTGGGACTATCTCGTTGCCAAGGATCAGTTACTCACCACCACCTACTGCGCGCATGTGCATGTGCCTGTGCATGTGCATGTGCCTGTGCATGTGCATGTGCATGTGCCTGTGAATGTGCATGTGCATGTGCATGTGCATGTGCATGTGAATGCAGGTGGAGATCTACCCGCTGCGCATCTACCTGACAGAGCAGATGTACCGGGTGGTGTGGGACTATCTCTTTGCCAAGGAGCCAGACGAACAGCTCAGGAAGCAGGTCAGCTCCTTACGCCTCTCGTTACCTCATGAGACCTCTTGAAACATATCAATACCTTTTTGGTACCACTTGTTACGAATACCTTTTTTAGGCGGCGACCCTTACCCGTAGCCCTCCCAGTGAAGCAAAAGGGCAAGAGCCGCTCCACTGCTCGTGATGCCATTTCCCCCTCTACCGCTGCTGCTGGCAGTGCCTCTACCGCTGCTGCTGGCAGTGCCTCTACTCTCCAGTGCTGGGGGCTTGATGTTTTAGCCAACTCAAACCCACCACCCTCTTCCCCATCCCCCCCCCTCTAATTCTTCCTCCCCACTCCCCAGGAGATGTGGGGTCCTGTGGCGCTCCCAGTCAAGCAGAAGGACAAGCGCCGCTCCACTGCTCCCGACACCCTCTCCTCCTCTGCTGCTGCTGCCGGCAGCGCTGGAGGAGGGGCCTTTCCGATGTCAGCAACTGTTGCGGGTGCGGGTGGTGGAGGAGGGGGGAGGAAGGGCGCGGAGGAGCCTCGCTTGAAGCACCAGTCGTCCGCTCCGCCCTCGGCTCTTGTGATTGAAGAGACTGTAAGTCTTTCAAGGTTTGAGACGTCTCAAAAAACGACTGTGGGAAGGGGGGTGGTGGGTGGGTAAGGCGGGGAGGAGCCGGGGCTGCTGAATCACCAGTCGTCCGCTCCGCTCCCCCTTCTGCTCTGGTGGTTGATGAGATTGTAAGTCTCCCCCTCTCACTTTGAGGCGCCTAAGAGGTCATTCTCTTGTTGATTGAAGCACCAGTCTTCGCCCCCTCCCCTCTCCCTCTGCTCTGCTGCTTGAAGAAACTCTAAGTCTCTCCCCGTCGTTTTAAATGCATCCGTGCTATCCTCCCTTCGATTTCCAATTCCTTCAACCCTTCTTATGCCCTTTCATCCTGTCCGACCTTCCCCCCTTCCTCCCCTTCTCCCCTTTCCCCCACTCCCTCCACTTCCGCCCCACTCCCCACCAGCGTCGCTCCACCAACTGAGCATCAATTCCACCGGCTCTGCCCCTGGCTCGACTTTTGAGACGTCTCAAAAGCCCTCTTCCCTCCCCACCAGCGCCACTCCACCAACTGACAGCATCAATTTCACTGGCTCTGCCCCCGGCTCGCTCCCAACCTCCCTCCCCTCCTTCCCCTCCCTCAATCTCAATCTCTCAGCCACCTCTAGCCCCTCCCTGCTTTCCCTCCTTTTCGCCTCCCCACCCTCCCCCCTACTCCCCCCACCAGCGTCGGTCTACCACGGACACCTTCATCTCTACAAGCTCTGCCCCCGGCTCACTCCCCTCCGCCTCCACCTCCCCATTCTCCTTATCCCCTCCTTTATTTCCCTCCTTCCTTCCCTTACCCCCCTTGCCCTCTTCCCCCCTATCAGCGTCGGTCTACCACGGACAGCTTCACCTCCACCGGCTCTGCCCCCGGCTCATTCCCTTCAAACCCCTCGCTTTCCTCCTTCCTCCCGTCCTCCCTCCCCTCCGCCTCCACCTCCCCCTTCCCCGCCTCCGCCTCCCCCTTCCACCCGTCCCTCCCCCCACCGTGCTCCCCTCTGCCCTCCCACTCGGTCATTCGCTCTCAGAGCAGCCCTACATTCCGAGCCCACACAAGTGCCTTCTCAGCAGATCGATACCCCACTGCTGTTACCGCTGCTGGTGCTTCTGGTGCTGCGATTTCCGGTGCTCCTGCTGACGGTGACGCTGCTGCGAGTGGATACTCTAGTGCTGGCGCTGGGGATGCTTTCTCTTCAGGTCCTTCTACTGGCCTGCTCTATGCCCCTCCAATTACTCACTCCTCCTCGGCCCCTCTCCCCTTGGCGAACCCCTATGGTAGAGCTGCTAGTAGTGCTGGGCTAGGGTACAGAGGAGGAGGCAGGGGTGGGGGAATGGGCGGGTCTGCGGCAGGGAAAGGTTTGAGTTTGGAGGGGATTCGAGAGGGGGGGGAGAAGGATGTGGGGGGAGCGAGTGAGAAGAAGAAGGGGAGAGATAAGAAGGAGCAGGAGGAGAGGAGGAAACTGAAGGCGGAGGAGAGGGTGGCGATGAGGGAGAGGGAGAAGAGGGAGCTTCTGGAGAAGAGGAGGATGAGGATGGAGCAGAAGGAGGAGGAGAGGAGGAAGAAGTTAGCACTGGAGGAGCAAAGGAGGACGAGGAGACAAGCGGTTTATATTCAGAACCTCAAGTTCAGCCAGGTATGGGCTGGGCGCTACTACTCCCATGAAGGTGTCTCGTCTCTTTCTTCAGCCAGATGGGTGGCCGGCTTGCGCCTGCTCAAGCAGATTCATTCATGCTCACGTTCGCCCGTTCATGCTCGGACTGAGTGATTCGATTCTCAGTCCTGTCTCTCCTCTCTCCTCCTCTCTCTTCTCCCTTCCCTCCTTCCTTCCCCCTCTCAGGTGGAGCTCTTGATCACATATGAAGGCTACCCTGTCTCTGTCACCGACCTGCGCCTCCTCATGGACACATTTGCCCGCACCGAGTACACGGGGCCGTGGCGCCGGCTCTTCTCGCGGCTAAGAAAGCATGTCATCTGGGGGGTGCTCAAGTCGGTTACAGGCATGCAGGTAACTCCATCAACAGTAAAATCTCATTGCCGCAATGCACCGCACTGCACCGCACTGTAACGCACTGTAACGCACTGTAACGCACAGAGTACACGGGGCCGTGGCGCCGGCTCTTCTCTCACCTACGCAAGCACATCATCTGAGGCGTGCTCGAGTCCATCACAGGCATGCAGGTAACTCTATCAATCAACAGTAAAATTGCATTACTGCACTGCACCGCGCTGTAACTCACTGAGTACACGGGGCCATGGTGCCGCCTGTTCTCGCACCTGGGAAGACTTGGCGTGCTGAAGTCTGTCACAGGCATGCAGGTGAGAACCGCAGTATTGCACTGCACCGCTCCGCACTGTGCTGCACCGAGGGGCCGTGAGTGTGAGCTAAGCACGTCATTTGGAGCGTGTAGTAATCAGTCCCAGGCTTGCAGGTGATATGAGCTGCATTTCTGCAACGCATTGCACTGCTTTGCACCGCACTGCTCCTCGTTCCAAACCCAACACCCCATTCCCCTTCTGCCTCTTCTCATTTCCCGCTTCGCCGTCTCTTACCCCAGGGCCGCAAGTTCAAGGATGCACATTTGCAAGCAGGCAGCAGCGGCGGTGGCAGCAGCATCACCACAACCACCCCATCCAAGTCGCAAGCAGCAGCGGCTGCAGCAGCAGCAGCGGAGATGGCAGAGAGTGACAGTGACGATGAGAGCGCACCCGCAGGGGTGGTATCAGGGGCTGGAGTGGACGGGAAGGCTGGCAGGAAGATTCCCGCAGCCGCAGGGGCAGGAGGAGGGGCCAGCGGGGGAGGAGGGGGAGGGGGGGAGGGGGTGGGCGACGGGAGTTATGGTGGGAGTGTGGGGGCAGGAGGGGGAAGGGTGAGTGTGTTAGAGGCAGGTTCTGCTGTTCCTGGTGCTGCGGCCACTGCTGCGAGTGGTAGCAGCAGCAGTGCACACATGGGCAATGTGGGCATCACCAGCAGCGGTTCTGGGGAAGCTTCGCTCCAACCAGGAGGAAGCTCTGCTGGTGCTGGCACTGCTGCCGCCTCTGCCACTGCTGCCACTGCTGCTAATGCTGCTCCTGGTGGCAGTACCGTGAGCAGCAGCAGCAGCGGCGGCAGTGGCAGCACGGCAGCTGGTTCTGGTGCGGGTTCACTGCCTGTAGGAGGAGGCGGGGCGTCAATGCTGCTGGCAAGGCTGGGGAACAAGGGGGAGCGCATGGGAGATGGGTTTGTGTCGTCCGTCAAAGGGCTGTTTAAAGACCAGCTGGGCCGAGCTAAGCATGTGCTTAAGAGCAAAGAGCAGCAGCAGCAGGTGCATCACCATCACCAGCACCGGCATCATCAGCAGCACCAGCAGCAAAAGCAGCTGAAGCAGCAGGTGGAGGAGGAGAAAGGAGGAGGTGGGGGGAGGAGTGGAGAGGAGGGTGATCTTGGTGGTGAAAGTGGATTGATGAAGGGAGAGGGGAGTGGGGGGTCTCCTGTGCTGCCTACAAGGAGTGGAGAGGTGGAGAAGGAGAAGGAGAAAGGGATGAGCTCACTGGTTGCGAAGGGACAGGCTTTGGTGCCTAAGCTGTGGACTCCAAAACAGAGTGCAGGTATGTGAGGTGGAGTGTACCTAGATTGAGACAGGGAGTGGCAAGGGAGAGTGGGAGAAGGAGAAAGGAATGAGCTCTCTGGTTGCGAAGGGACAGACTTTGGTGCCTAAGCTGTGGACTGCAAAACAGAGTGCAGGTATGTGAGGTGGAGTGAGCAAGGATAAGATTGAGCTGGAGGTGTGGGGCCTTGTGATTGGTCATATGAAGGTGCGTTTTGCGAAGCTAATTTGAGCAAGGATCCAAGAGGTTTTTTTTCTTTCTCTTTTGCATCCGCAAGTCATTGATTCAACCCGTTTCGTTATTTTGTTCTGTTTCAATGGTTTTCCTTCTGAGCCTATGTCGTATGTTTCAACTCCAGGTCGCGTTGATGAAGCCATCCCGGAGGTGCCTGAAGATGGAGCTGCATCAGAGTCCACTAGTGGAGGAATTGGTACTGCTATGGAGAAGGGCACAACTTGATGGTCCGTCCATGTAGTAATCTATGGCTTCTATCACTAAGTTCGTTCCCAGTTCAGTTGCTCTATGCACACTAATGATGCTGTTGTGGTAGATATAGTATTGTAGCAATGTCAACCACGGACTGAATACCACTAACAAATGACCTGCAAAACACATCAACTGTACTGTGCACTTCTTTCTTCGTCTATACATGTCCTCTCGTTCTTAATGCAGCGCTTTGTAGCAATATACCGTCAACCACAGACGAGCATGGCGGTGATCCACAAACAAAGTGAGCTATCTCAATTCGCAACCAGAAAATTCCAGTTTCGGTTCTACGATTCGGAAAATTGTTGCGATCACATCTCAGTCTCGGCAATCAACAGATCCGTCGCTGGATCACTTGTCGTCATGGCTGCCAGAGGCCAAGTCCGTAAGCTGCTTCGCTATCGTCCTCTATAACTTGTGTCCATTCGGCGGCTCCGTGTCTCATGATCTCCCTACTCGGTTGACAGGCTGATTTATTGGACTGCATAGACTGGCCATCAGTGGAGTGCCTGAACGCAAAGCCTGGGAAGAGTGTAGATAATGCAATCAAGCAGGTCAGTTTCTTGAGCAGATACTTTCGAGGATCGTGATTCTTCAGCCGTTGCACGTCGAGACGCACCTCGAGTTTCTTATTTTACGTTCGCAGGGATATAGAGAGGACGATGGTTTGTTTTTGGAGAGCGACGTCGATGAGCAACTACTGGTCTACGTCCCATTCAACCAAGTAGTCAAGCTTCATTCGATTGTGATCAAGGGTCCCGAAGAAGAAGGTACAAATTCCGCGACCGCGTGGTGATTTTTTCTTCAACCCTCAAATACGATTCATATTTCATCTTGGCGCTCGCAGGACCCAAATGCATAAAGCTCTACTCAAACAGGCCGAACATGGGATTCAGGTAGGATTATAAGACATTTTTGTTTTCCCTCTTAATCTGTTATCGTTTCATCGAAGTCTGAGAAAGGTATCTCGTATGACGCAGCAATGTGAGCGACATACCGCCGAGTGACACCATCAATCTTACAGCTGATCAGGTTCAGGTGAGAAAGGGTCATTTTTTCTTGCATCTATATTGTTTAAAGGGCTTCGTGTGATGTGTAGATTTTATCATCATAGTAACTTGACATTGCAGGAAGGGAAGGCAACACCTTTGAAATATGTGAAGTTTCAAAATGTCAGAAGGTAATACCTGAACTTTCAGCCTTCGAAGTTACATGCTTATAAGCTATCTCTTACAGTTTTTCCCCTTCGCAGTCTTACTATATTCTGATGTCACTAAGGTTCAGAAGTTGGCCATACTTGGAAGCACGTGAGTGCACTAACTCGTTCCAGCCCCGCTGACTGCCTCTGTTATTCTCTTCCTTATTGAGGTGCCTTCATTTCATCTGATATTTAACGTCATCCCATTTGTATGCAGGGTTGAGACCACCAATATGAAAGATCTGAAGAAAATTGATGATAAGCAAGGCTAAAGTTGCCACATAGAAACTGATGGCAGCTTGGTAGGTGTTGGGCTGAATGCCTTTCCTCAACAGTAGAAGCTTGCATTGTAGGGCATGCAGGTCCATTATGTGAAAAACATGTTCTGTATAGAAAGTTATTCTTGTGCCCTCTTTTACAGAGATAAAGCAAGACACTGAGTGAAAAGAGAGGGTGAGGGATGGCAAGGGTGAGTAACTTATGACTAGATTGACAAAAAATTGAGCACTACCTAGTGACACTGGTAGTTTTTTTTTTCCACGGTGGGCTTGTCCAGTTACACGCTTCTCCAACGGAGGGTGAGACGGTTGGCTAATCCAGTCTCACAATTCTCCAACGGAGGGTGAGAGACGGGAAGAGTGAGAAAGGAGGAATGTATGATTCGCATTCGGCTTCGTTTGCGTTTGTCCAAGTGGGTTATGCTAAGTTTCATGGGCGAAGCCATTTCTGATGGACCACAAGCACCATGGAGCGAAATAGCAGATGTTGATCTATTACTGAAACAAAATACAAGTATGGCGCAAGGGTGCAAACTATACAATCTAGTACTCCTCGTTCTCATCATCACCGGGCTCGGTGGAGTCAGCACCGACTTCCTCGTAGTCCTTCTCGAGCGCAGCCAGGTCCTCACGGGCCTCAGAGAACTCGCCCTCCTCCATGCCCTCACCGACATACCAGTGCACGAATGCACGCTTCGCGTACATAAGGTCGAACTTATGGTCGATCCGGCTGAAGACCTCCGCCACGGAAGTGGAGTTGGAGATCATGCACACAGCACGCTGCACCTTGGCGAGATCGCCACCAGGCACCACGGTGGGAGGCTGGTAGTTGATACCGCACTTAAATCCAGTAGGGCACCAGTCGACGAACTGGATGGTCCTCTTGGTCTTGATGGTAGCAACGGCGGCATTGACATCCTTGGGGACGACGTCTCCACGGAACATCAGGCAGCAGGCCATGTACTTGCCGTGGCGAGGATCGCACTTGGCCATCATGCTTGAAGGCTCGAACGCACTGTTGGTGATCTCAGCCACGGACAGCTGCTCGTGGTAAGCCTTCTCGGCGGAGATGACCGGAGCGTAGGAGGACAGCATGAAGTGGATGCGAGGGTAGGGCACCAGGTTGGTCTGGAACTCAGTCACGTCCACGTTCAGAGCGCCGTCAAAGCGGAGGGAGGCAGTCAGGGAAGAAATGACCTGAGACACGAGACGGTTCAGGTTCGTGTAGGTGGGACGCTCGATGTCCAGGGAGCGGCGGCAGATGTCGTAGATGGCCTCGTTGTCGAGGAGAACGGCGACATCGGTGTGCTCCAGGAGCGAGTGGGTGGAGAGAACGGAGTTGTACGGCTCAACCACGGAGGTCGACACCTGAGGAGACGGGTACACCGTGAAGCCGAGCTTGGACTTCTTTCCGTAGTCCACGGACAGACGCTCCAGGAGGAGGGAACCGAGACCGGAGCCGGTACCACCGCCGACGGCGTTGAAGACCAGAAAGCCCTGGAGACCAGTGCAGTTGTCGGCAAGCTTGCGGATGCGGTCAAGGCAGAGGTCAACGATCTCCTTGCCAACTGCGATAAAAAAACGTAGGATAAAAGGAACGATTAGTAACAGATCGAAGTCACAACTGAGTAAAATAGATTGTCAACATTAGAAGCATGCCGAATTAAATACGAAGACAAGTGAAGGAGGCGAGTCACTTACTGGTGTAGTGACCACGGGCGAAGTTGTTGGCGGCATCCTCCTTGCCGGAGATGAGCTGCTCGGGGTGGAACAGCTGCCTGTATGCACCGGTCCTGACCTCGTCAATCACAGTCGGCTCCAGATCGAGGAACACAGCACGAGGGACGTGCTTGCCGGCGCCAGTCTCGCTGAAGAAGGTGTTGAAAGCGTCATCGCCTCCTCCGCAGGTCTTCTCGCCGGTCATAAGCTGGCCATCAGGCTGGATGCCATGCTCCAGGCAGTAGAGCTCCCAGCAGGCGTTGCCGACCTGGATACCCGCCTGGCCGATGTGGACGGAGATGCACTCACGCATGGTGGCGAAGTTAGTATTAAAAAATCTACGAGGGTTCTGAAGGCTAAGGAAAGCTAGAAGGCTAGATGGCGGATAGCTCAAAGGCTCTCGTGTGACGATATCAGGTCGTCAACACTCGATGCGTGAAGAAGAGATGGTTCCGGGGAGGTTATATAATCCTTGTCACAGGTAAGCCAGCAGACACAGGAGGTTGGATGAGAGTTTCTCCCTGACAGGGTGTGCGCCCCAGATCTGAATTCAGGAGGCAAACCTCGGTGGTTTGGTAAATTCCGAGCCAAGACGGTCTGGCACAATCCCTAAGCAAACGGGAAACCATACCTACGCGGGAGTCATGGAAATATTCCCAACACGGGCAGATCCCAAAGCGTCCGAGCTTTGGAGAAACTCGAGGCTGTCATGGCCCAATCTCGATGGGCTTTTCCACTGGTCAAAGCGGCATTCTGAAATTCCTGAAGCACGAACCGCGGAGATAACGCGGGAACCCGCTGACATGTGTCAGGGACATTGGCGCGGAGAAATCCACTCACACACTGGATGGCGGGGTTACTGCATTCGCGAGCTTCGTGCAACGGAAAAATCAAGGCTGGCTGGGAGCTGATTGGGAGTGCCTGACCTCGGTCTTGGCGGGAAAAAGGGCATAGAAAAAAAAGTAACAAGTTAATACTTTCCTTTGGTTTCATAAACTTACAAGTCCTCAATGCGGGCCAGATCTAAGCACCATTTCTATCAGGGCCTCAGAAGTCAGCGAAAAAAAGCTGATTTAGGGTCTGGACGCTGATTTCCCAGACATGTGGGCGATGTGTTGGCTGATAATTCAGTTTTTTTTGTAATGTTTTGGCTGATTGGTCAGGGTTTTTTTTTATGTTTTGGCTGATTTTCCAGCGTTATTTTACAAGTGTTCGCTGATTGATCAGACTTGTAACGAGAGTGTAGGCTGAAGTCACGCTATTACATATTCGTGCCGGAGCCGTGAGTTTCGGCTGTCCAGGTACATCCACCGGCAATCACGCAAAATGAATTTTCCCGACGCGTCGTTGTCACCGTCAGAATGCTTAAATAGATGTGATTGGTTGTTAAACCAATCACATCCCTTATGCGCCAATCACTCACCACCAGTGCAGCACAGCAACGCACCGCACGCACTCACGACAAGGACACCCACCTCACCCCATCTCACCCACCCCAAACCTGCATCTAAGTGCGTGCATGGTGCCCCCACGTCGCGCCGCGTTGTAGTTGGGTGGTGAGAACGATAGGGCCTTCTGTTATGGCTCTCTCTTGATGACCCCACCGTACCCACCCACCAGGCGAGCTGCAATGTCAGTCCCCGCCTCTCGCCCTGGTTTTCTCAAACCCTTGCTAGCAACGTTGGAGCTCGGCACGCTCTCCCCTTTCAGCCATGGCCGGCCTTGCAGAAGGCGTAGCTTGCGATGATGATGCAGGCATGGATAGCAGCGATGATGAATTAGACGGCCTAGAGGAAGCCAGGACGGGGCTTGATATGCTCCTGCGCTCGCTTGCCACTGGTGTCCTCGCTCCCAGGCCTCCTACTGCAAAGCCTGCACTAGACGAGAGGGTGCACCGCGACCACCCACCGGTTTCTTCAAGCCCGGATTCCATCCGGAGTGAGCCTGCTGCGCCGGCTGCCGTCTCCGACACGGTGGTTGTCGAGTCGCCAACAACAAAGTCCACTGCCCCGCGCAACTTCAAGCTGAAGCAGTCGACGCTGAGCTGGGCAAAACCATCTTCGAGCACCGCCGTCGAGCAACCTGTCGTGAACAACACATCCCCTCTTCCATCCTTGGTCATAGACATTTCGGAGGCCATTGAAGCAGTATATGCAGACGCACTTTTTAAGTACAAAACCAAGTGGTCTGAGAGGTTCTCGTGGCTTGTGCTAACCAAATCTAAATCTGGTTTCCCTGCTTTTAAGTGCAGTGTCTGCACCAAGCATGTCGGAGTCAGGGGACGATGTGGCCGGACAGGGCGAGGGGCGACCGACGTGCAGACGCAGGCGTTTCGCAAGCACGCCGGCACGACGAAACACAGGCTGGCGATGGAGAAGCAAGAGGCGCTGCTGAACGTGGCCTCAAAGCAGCCACGGATCGACCAACATCGAGCCGCCGTCGATGCTGAGAAGAACCGCGTCGTGGCGTTGCTCGACTCCATGCTGTTCGTCAGTTCCTGCGATGCGCCCATGGGAACATGGGTGAAGCTGGTGCAGTACCTCGCGCGCAAGGGTGTCCAGGGCTTCCCTAAGAAGGGATATGGCACCTACTACACATCGTGAGTAGTAGTCACATTTGTATTGCGTTGGTGTTTAGATGTTCAACCCTAAACCCTCTTCTCATCTCTTGTCTTTGGTTTCCCTGCGTGCAGGTACGGCTTCGGTGAGCTCACGCAGGCCCTTGCTACCTGGCTACAGACAACTCAGCTGGAGCACATCCTGACAAGCCCTTTCATCGGCATCTGCATCGATGAAAGCACGGACCGGCTCAGGGGGAAGCACATGATCTTGTACGCATCGTTCATCCGCGACAACGTGCTCGTGACCGAGTTCATGCAGCTGATCACGGTGGAAAAGGCGGACGCATGTTTTCTTCTTAGCATCCTGCTTTCCCACTTGCAGTCCGTCGGTGTCGATCTGCAGAGAATTTCCGGCATTAGCACCGACGGCGCAACAGTGATGATGGGGTCTAAGGCCGGCCTGGTTGTCCGCCTGCGACAGAAAATCCCGCACCTTGTCTCCGTTCACTGCATCGCTCACAGGTTAGTGAGCTTCGCTGCTACGTTTTCAGCCCGTTACGCCATCTGGTTCGAGCTTGTGTTTAATTTCCTGAGTTTGATGTGTTCCACTTGCAGGGAGGCACTTGCAGCGAAGGATGCAGCAGAGGAGCTCCCCGTCTTCGACATGGTCGACGATCTCATCCGGGCTGTGGCCGATTTGCTTGGTCGGTCGGGACCGCGCCACGCACGGTTCATGGACATGCAGGAGGTCATCACCGAAATGAGCCTCGAAGTGCAAGGCATCCATTCCGTTCGGTGGCTGTCAAGGGGGGATGCCGTCCATCGCCTTGTCGCTGTTTTGCCGGCAGTGATTGTGCTGCTGAAGGAGCTTAACAGCAAGATGTACAAGCTGGCAAGCTCCTACCGTTTTCACTTCTTCCTTTACTTCCTGGCTGATGTGCTTGAGCAGCTCAACATTTTGAACAAGACCTTCCAGCAGAAACAGGTGAGGTGGTGCGAATATAGCTACGCATGTCCCCATATTTACCATTCTAACTATGTCACTGTGTGCCTCTGTCTGTCCAGCTCGATCTGGAGTCTTTGCATGCGCAGATCAAGCGGACAACGCATCACATCGAGAGCCGATACGTGGACTGCGGCGATGACTTCGGCGGCGGCATGAGCCACTGGCTATCACCTTTCCTGGAGCGTCATGGCCCGGGGTGTAGTCGCGAAGTGAAGGTGGAAGGTGTCGACAGCGACGGCCGACCATCTTCTATCACGTTCACCCTTCACGACGAGCCCGTGGACTCGTACAGCGGCCCGGAGGACCACGACGGCTGCATCAAGTTGTGCACCGAGTTCGCAGAGAGGATCGTGGCGAACCTGGAGGGAAGGCTCGGCGATCTCGACTCGCTTTCTGGAGTCCGCCTGTTCACACCTGATGCATGGCCACAAAGCAAGTCTGAGCGGAACGCTCGTTGCCAGGAGTGGCTTCAGTCGCTGGTGACGATGTTCAAGGCTCAGGACCGTGAGGAAATCTTGCCAGGTTCGTTGTGGCAGATTTGTGAACCTATGATATCTTATCTATGCTTGAAAATCCTTTGTGGTGCACCTGTTTGCTCATGTGCCTCATCTTAACCCTCCCTCCCTCCCTTCCACCAGGCATCAACAAGAGGCAGGCAGGCAAGGAGCTTCGCCTCTTTTGTTCAGTCCTTGCACGTGCCACCAAGGAAGAGAGGAGCTTCCACAGCGGACTATCGGCGATCCTCAAGACGCCAGACTGGCGGGAGAGCTACCCCAATCTGGTGCAGCTCTGGGTGGCGGTGGCTGTGATTCCCCTCAGCACTGTGGAGTGCGAAAGGGGATTCACCCGGCAAAACGTGATTAAGACATGGCGGAGAGGGGGGATCAAGGACGCGAGGCTGGGGGACCTCATGTGTCTGTCCCTCATGCAGTACGAGCCCAACTACGATGAGGTAATTGAGATCTGGCGGAGTTACAGAAAGCGCAAGCCTTTCGGCAATGCTCCCATTTGCACCCCAACCCCAGGCGAGAACAAGAAGGGCAAGCACGAGGAGCCAGTAGATGTAGATGATGAGGAGCCAGTAGGAGATGCAGGAGGTAGTTCTAATGATGAAGATGAAATGAGTAGCTAGCTAATGTCATGTGTAGTGTAGTGTTGTGTTTCCCTGTTAGGCCTGCTAAAGTTAATGAACAAAGTGCTCTACATAGTTCAGCCTGCGTGTTTTAAGTGACGCTGATTCCTCAGCGTTTTTTTTTTGAACTTGTCTGAAATATAAGTTTTTTTCATATAACCAAGTCTGATTGATCAGCATAACATAGGCTGCTAAGGCTGACGTATCAGCCAAGCTAAAAACGAATCTGAGGCCCTGATTTCTATCCATTACAGATCATCCCAAATCAACTACATCACAAAAAAATAGGGAATTTATTCACTCCACTACTTGGCTTTGCCCTTACCCTTGCCACCAGGCAAGGGAGCAAGGCCCCCCCCAAGACCCAGAGGAGCATCCCCTTGACTTGCTTCTCCATTTGCCGTAGCTGCAGGCTTGCTTGCTGCCGCTGCTGCTCCCGCACCTTTCTTTCCTCCAGCTTTCGTGGGAGGCGGAGCTCCTGAGACAGCACCAACACCAACACCAAGGCCCACACCGCCAAGCCCAGCAGGCGCCGCCGAACCACCTGCCGAGCCAGCTGCCGGAGCAGCTGCCGAGCCTGTCTTGCTAGCCGAAGAGCTAGCCGCACCAGAAGCTGGTGACGTGCTATTGATGAAATTAATCAGTTCTTCCATGTCCATTGCACTGGGTGCACCGGCTCGGGCACCTGCCGAACCTGCAGCTCCTCGCAGGTTCACCCCCCGAGCCGCTGCTTTCCGCCGAGCCTCTGCAGCAGCCCTGGAAGCCCGCTCGTCCACACCTCTGGCTCGAATGCCAGTGCCTGAGGAGCCTGTAGCTCCCATGCCTCCGCCGAACCTGCCTGCACCAGCTCCGGGAGCAGGAGGGGGGACCTCTCCCCGAAGCAGAGCGTCAGCCACGGCACGCTGGTACGAGGTGGAGCCTCCTGCTCCGGGCGCTGCTGCTGCCTGCAACACCTGAAGCAACTCCGGCCGTTGCTGAAAGAAAAGGAAGGCATGGGCAAGAGGAAAAAACGTAGATCAGGAATCCGAATCTAGACTATCTGCAGCACGCCAACAATGATGGCAACACGGACAAGGAAAGGCAATGCTTTATGTGTTCGAAATGGCAGCCTCGGCATACCTTGAGAGCTTCGGCCACACGGAGAGCTGCTGCTTGTTGCTGCTGGACTGTTGCTGCTGATTGCCCCACCTTCTGCTTTTGCGCCTGTGGAGACGTGGAGGGTAAGGGGAAAGGCATGGGAGGGAAAGCGAACAGAAGTGAGTGAGGGCTGCTGGTTGAGGTACGACTGCAACCACTCCCCAGAATCGCATGCATGCACCCACTCCCCCGACCCCTTAATGGTGCTTGAGCAATGCAAGCAAGCACTCATTCCCATGCACTACCCCACTTGCACACACGTAAATGCATATCCAATCCACACACGCACTATATCATACGTGGCAGTCTCTCACCCTGAGCTCCCGGTCGAGGAACGACTGCACCCACTGCTCCGACTCCTTGGTGCCGCTTGAGTGAACAACCCACTCACTCACATGCAATCTCCCCGCATGCACACATCAATGCATCACCACCAACAACCACAGCACTCACCCTGAGCTCGCGGTCGAGGAACGACTGCACCCACTGCTCTGACTCCTTGGTGCGCGGGTCCTCCTTCCCCACCGCCTTCTCAAACACCGCCTGTGCCTTGCGCTCCTCCTGTGGTGGCGGGGGAAGTGGAGACAAAATGGTGAGAGACGGTGCAAGAAAAAGGGTGGGGAGGAGAGTTGATGGAACTAGGAGCTTCAAGGTCAGGCCAGCATAAGCCCTCTAGCACTCATGCACATACCTGCACCACCAACTTGAATGCGACCATTGATCGTGGTGGCAAACGGCAACTTGCACGTAATGCTGCCCCAGCAGCCTCCCACTCACTGCCTATTCCCCTCGGAACCTATTGCAGCACACCCTTATGTCTTACACACCTGTAAGGCGAGCTTGAACGCCCCCATGGAAGAGAAGGCGAGGACGAGAGCACGGTGACACACAGCCACCTGCACGTGATGCTACCCCAGCAGCTTCTCACTATCTGACTAACGTCCTCAGCACCTACTGCAGCATACACTAACGCACCTGTAGAGCGAGCTTGAACGCCCCCATAGAGGAGAAGGCGAGGGCGAGAGCATGGTGACACACGGCCACCTGCACATGATTCTCCCCCAGCAGCTTCTCACTCACTCGCACCGCCTCCTGCACATACTTCAATGCGTTCTGTAACTTGCCCATGTCCTGGTGATGGGGTGGGAGGGCAGGCAGGAGGAGGGGCAGGGAGGAAGGGGGGGAGGGACGAGTGTGTTGACCCAGCCGACCAGCACCTTCTCATCCACCATATCCCCCCCTTTAAGCCCTTCAACACATTATGCTGACAACCATACACACACACACCACACCACACCACACCACACCACACCACACCACACCACACCACACCACACCACATCCCTCAACCCACACACCTGGTAGGTGAGCGCGATGTTGACGAACAGCGAGGCCACCTCCGGGTGGTCGTTGCCAGCTGAGAGCGAGAGCAGCTGCAGGGTGCGCTTGAAGTGACGCAGAGCAAGCTCGGATTCGCCCATGGCATGGAAGTAGAGCGCCATGTTGCCGTAGCTGGTGGGTGACGGGGCAAGGAGAGGGCGCGAGAAGCGTGTTAGGAGAGGTATGGTAGACGCATGGGGTGCGCTTGAAGTGGCGCGGAGCGAGCTCTGACTCGCCTATGGCTTGGAAATACAGTGCCATGTTGCCGTAGCTGGCGGTGTGCGGGAAGGGGGAGGGGAGGAGCGAGGAAGCCAAGGGAAGGGGGCAAGCATGGCGTGGCAAGGCATGGATGGCACAACATGGCACAGGGAGAACAACACAGTAGGTGTGTACCATGGGAAGAGAGGCGGGCATGGCATGGGCAGCCATGGCCAGCGGGTATCCACGTGGCGGAATGCTATTGGTGGACATACTGACCGGAAGCACATGGGACAGGTGCACCCGGCTAATTTGCCACCAGATGAGAGGTTTCACAGAGAAAGTCCAAGCTCTGCTCCTGCCCCCTGCTTTGCTCACACCACCACTTCAAACTTCTCAGAACCATGATGGAGGGGGAGCATCAGCTAATCTGTGCACGAAGTCAGGGTGGTGTGTTTCCTTCCTTCCACCACCCGCTCACTGACAATCAGCTCGCGATAAATTCCAGCACAAGACGCTGCCCACTTGCTTCCCCCCCTTAGTGTTGCCAGTAAACAGCAACGCCCACCTGTGCACGGTGTCAGGGTGGTCTGTTCCCACCACCCTCTTGTTGATGATCAGCTCACAGTGCTGCTGCTGCACGAGGCACTGCCCCTTGCACCCCCTCCATGCACCACCCCCTTCCCCCACCCTTGCTCGCCCCCTTGGACCCCCCACCAGTGTGTGTCACACACCCACCTGTGCACGGTGTCGGGGTGGTCCGTCCCCACAACCCGCTCGTTGATGATCAGCTCGCGATGCTGCTGCAGAATGGCATTGCCTGTCTCTCCTGCGTGGTAGAAGATCAGAGCCAGGTACCTGGGGTTGTGCAGGGGTGTAGATGGGTGGGAAGAGGTGCGGGGGAACGGAATGGGGAAGATGAACGGGGGAAGGGAGAAGGGGCACTGCAGAAAAAGACCAAAGGACTGGTCTGGCAAGGACATCTGGGAAAGGGCAACATCGAAGGGAGAGAAATGAGTGGGGACAGGGAGGGAAGGAGGGGAAAGGGAGGAAGGGAGGGAGGGAGGGAGGGAGGGAGGGAGGGAGGGAGGGAGGGAGGGAGGGAGGGAGGGAGGGAGGGAGGGAGGGAGGGAGGGAGGGAGGGAGGGAGGGAAGGAGGGAAGCAGGTGGGGAGGGAGGGTACAAATGGATAGAATACAAAAGGCTGGCAACGAATGCGGCATGCAGCAACGTCCCGCACACCTCTAGAGAATTCTTGCGAGTGACTCCGACATACCTCACTCCATGCTTGCTTACCTGCAGCATGCTGCAACGTCCAGATGAAGTGGCCCGCACACCTGCACGCGGAGAGGGGTGGTGGAATGGGGTTGGGAGGGTGTGGGGGAGGGAGGAGAGACGGGGGTGTTGGGAGGGGCTAGGGAGGAGCGGAACAAGGAAAGAGGAGAGGGAGAGATGCAAGAAACGAGAGGAAAACGAGAAGGAGAGAACGGGAAAGGGAAGGGAAATGGGAGGGGTATGGGGCAGTAGAGAATGTGAGTTTCTGCGGAAAAAAGAAAGAAGGTCAATAGGCGTCTGCCATTCTAGCCCCCCTTCCTTCCCCTCCCCCCTCCCCTCCTAGCTCCCTTCCAATACCGTCCACTCATATACCCCCCTCCCTTCCCCCACCAGCCCTGGAACCCCACCTGCTGCAGGATCTGGTAGGCCTCGCTGAGAATCTCAAACGCGGAATTCAGAGTTGTCTCGTGCTCCCGCAGCCACTGCCCGCTCTGAGGCGTGGCGGAGAAGCGCGGGCGCAGAGGCAAGCCGACCTGGAAAGGGGGGGTTGGGACCGGGGGAAATGCGGGGGAAGGGATGTCGGAAAGGGGATCACTGTTAGGGGTGCTCCCACAGTTACTGCCCGCTCTGAGGCGTGGCGGAGACGCGCGGGCGCAGAGGCAAGCCGACCTGGAAAGGGGGGGTTGGGACCGGGGGAAATGCGGGGGAAGGGATGTCGGACAGGGGATCACTGTTAGGAGTGCTCCCACAGTTACTGCCCGCTCTGAGGCGTGGCGGAGAAGCGCGGGCGCAGAGGCAAGCCGACCTGGTTGGGCGAGGGGGGAGGGAGGGGGGGGAAGGGTTACAGGGATGTGATTAACAAAAGGCTCTGTTTTTAGTGGTACCAGTGTTGACTTGTGCTCCCGCAGCCACTGCCCGCTCCGGGGGGTGGCGGTGAAAGGCAAGTTCACCTGGAAAGGAAGAAAGGGGACGTGTGTTCAAAGGACGTGGGCGTGGAGCACGTGGGAATTGGACAGAGTATGGACTGTACCATCTGAAGAGACACAGGCATGGCATGGCATGGAATGGCATGGCATGGCATGGCATGGCATGGCATGGCATGGAATGGCATGGCATGGCATGGAATGGCATCTCATAGACAAGCAAGGGTATGTGCCATGGGAAGATAGCCGGGCATGGCATGGGCAGCCATGGCCACCGGGTATCCACGTGGCGGAATGCTATTGGTGGACATACTGACCGGAAGCACATGGGACAGGTGCACCCGGCTAATTTGCCACCATTCTCCGAACGCCCCACCCCTCCCACCACACCCTTTTCAACGTGATGCAAGCGCTCCATCCCACCCACCATAACCACCCCACTCCCTGCCCATACCTTGTGCACGAGGCTCTAGCCCTTCTCCAGCAGCTTCTGAGCGTCGCTGCACGCGGGCGAGGCGAGGAGAGAGCGAGACTAGCCTCCTGCCCACACTACACCCTTTGTACGCACTGCTGCAATCCCCAATCCCCCCCCCCATACCTTGTGCACGAGGCTCTTGCCCTTCTCCAGCAGCTTCTGAGCGTCGCTGCACGCGGGCGAGGCGAACTTGACTTGCGGCAGCAGGTCGCACACGTCTGCAATTGCAATGGGCACGTCACACTCGAGGTTGTAATCCCTGGCTGCCAGGACTATGCCCATCTGTGGGAAGAGTGGGGGAAAGGCAACACAGGGAGAAGTGGCAACACAGGGAAGGAGTAAGAGGAGGCGAACTTGACTTGCGGCAGCAGGTCACACACGTCTGCTATGGCAATGGTCACGTCGCACTCAAGGTTGTAATCCCTGGCTGCCAGGACGATGCCCATCTGTGAGTGGAACAATGGGGACACCGGGCGAGGGGAGTGGGCAGAGATGATTATCAAGGCAGAGATGTTCCTATGGGAACCAACAACAATGCCCATCAATAATCCCTCGCTGCCAACCAGCACAATGCCCATCTGTTAGGGGAACACAGTGAACACCAGGAGGCGAATTCAGGGGCAGCAGGTCTGCACACGTCTGCATTTGTGATCGGCCATGAGGACTCCTGGGACCGCGTGTATTGAGCATGTTTTTGAGTTGACTCAAAAACAGACTCAATGCATTTGTGATCGGCCATGAGGACCCCTGGAACTCCTGGCAATAATGAACATGCGCTGCTGAAAGAGGTGGATGGTGTGACTTTTGAGGCGCCCCAAAAATCTGCATTCGTGATCGACCATGACGACCCCTGGGACCTAACGGGACCTAACGAACATGCGCTGCTGAAAAAGGCCGACGGTCTGACCTTGAGGCAGATGTTGCGGAGGGTAGCAAGGCTGCGAAGCATGTTGCGCGTCTCAGGAGGGATCTCGAACTGTGCACAGGACAGGTGGCAGGGCAGGAAACCGCACGGCACGGCAGGGCACGGGAGAGGAGGACAGGGAGCGCCCATGGAGATAGGGAGATGGACGGACGGAAGCAGAAAATAAGAAAATCATTCAGGATAGCAGCAGATGTAATGGATGAAATAGAGAGGATCAGACCAGAGCGAATAAATATTTGAAATTTTGAAAGTAGTGTTCAGAAACGAGCGGCACGGGAGGGGGGGATGATGACAGGCATAATTCTCTCTCTCTCTCTCTCTCTCTCTCTCTCTCTCTCTCTCTCTCTCTCTCTCTCTCTCTCTCTCTCTCTCTCTCTCTCTGTCTCTCTCTCTCTCTCTCTCTCTCTCTCTCTCTCTCTCTCTCTCTCTCTCTCTCTCTCTCTCTCTCTCTCTCTCTCTCTCTCTCTCTCTCTCTCTCTCTCTCTCTCAAAAAACTGCATTGCTCTCACCTGGTACTTGTACTTCACGCCTTCTGCGATATCAGACCACACCATATCCGCGATAATGTGAGTATATCAACAGTTATCCCACCTGTTACCTGCTCTGTGATCCCCTAACCCACATCACCCTCACCTGACACTTGTACTTGACGCCTTCAGTGATATCACACCACACCATATCCGCCGTGATACGAGCATATCCTGGCACATCTCACTCCCACCTGGTACTGCGGGTCCCACCTACACCAGCCGTAATGCTTTCCTAGCATTCTTTGTCATTTCAGTCAATTCTAGGACCCTGTTTCAGTCTCTCACCTGACACTTGTACTTGACGCCTTCAGTGAAATCAGACCACACCATATCCGCCGTGATACGAGTATACCACCCAGCACTCTCTCTCCCACCTGTAACTAGGCAGGTCACACCCACAATGCCCTCACCTGATACTTGTACTTGACGCCTTCAGTGATATCAGACCACACCATATCCGCCGTGATGCGAGTGTACCCCGGCACATCCACCACAAACAAAAACGCTTCCTTCTTCTCCTCCCCCTCCTCCTTCCTCTCCTCCCCATCCTTCCTCTCTCCCCCCTTCCCCTTCTTCTTCTTCTTCCCCCCGCCGCCCGCCGCGCCGCCCTCGGTTTTGTCCGTATCCCCAACGCCGGGGAGCGTGGGCGGCGGCGTGGTGGTGGAGGTGCCGAGGAAGCAGTTGAGGAAGTGGGCGATGGCGCCGGCCACGTCCTGCTCGAGCGTCTCGCGCAGCACGGCCTTGAGCACGTGCTTGGTGGCTCGCACTACCATTTCGGCTACGCACAGCCAATACACCTGCTCCACGTCAGCCACCTCCTTCGCCACCTGGCAGTTTGCAGGGGAGGGGATGGGGGCGGGAGGAAGAGCGGAGGGGGGATGGGAGGGAGAAGGGGTTGGGAATGAGGGAAAAAACAGTGAGGGAGTGGAGATCAAGAGCAGGAGAAAGATAGGGGATCAGAGGAGGGATCAAGGGAGGAAGCAGCAGCACGGCCTTGAGCACGTGCTTGGTGGCCGTCACCACCATCTCCGCCACGCACAGCCAATACACCTGCTCCACGTCAGCCACCTCCTTTGCCACCTGGCAGTTTCCGGGTGAGGGGAAGTGGGGCGGGTAAGGGGAGAGGGGAGGGGGTGCGGAGCGGGGCCAAGGGATGGCGTGTGTACACAATTGGCGGCCATTGATGCTTGCAAGCACACAGCCACCTGCATATGCTCCCCCCATGTCCACATGTTCATAATACATCCGACGCCCATTCATGCACTCACCCACCCGCCCATGCAAGGCCCTTGAGAGGGACTCACCCGGCCCAGGTGACGCACGTTGACGCCATGGGCGTGCATGGTGCTTGCAAGCGCGCGGCCATCCACAACCCTTCGGAGCTCTTGATACCTGCCACCAGTGACCTGACCCACCTGCCACGTGCATGGGACACTCACTCACCCGCCCATGCAAGGCCCAGGGGAGAAACTCACCCGGCCCAGGTAGCGCAGGTTGACGCCGTGGGCGTGCATGGTGCTTGCAAGCGAGCGGCCATCCACGGGCCACCCTTCGGAGCTCTTGATATCCGCCACCAGTGCTGGCAGCGCTGTCTCAATCAGGTACTTGCCTGCCTTGCGCACCAGCGCCTCGTCCTCCTCCACCTCCTGTTGTTGTGTGTGTAGAGTGAGGGAGAGAGTGAGTGAGGGGAAGCGGAGAGACTGATGGGTGAGGTAGATATAAACAAACTTTTACCCCGAGACTCGATTCACACTCACTCCCAGACACAACTTCACAATCAGCCTCACTCGTCGTGTTTCCCTCTCGCACTCCACACACCTTGGAGTCATCAGCCAGTTAAATTCCGTGAGCGCGTTGGGGTTGAACAGCACGTCAGGCAGCTCGCCCTTCTCCCTCGCCGCCTCCACCTCCTCCGCACTCGGCCGCTCGCTCACTCCCTTCTGAGCCATCCACCGCTCCACCTGCTCCTCCCTCGGGTTAAACAGCACAGCAGGCAGCTCGCCCTTCTCCCTCTCAGCCATTATCACCCTCACACTCAACACGTACTCCTCCCCACACTCACCTTGGAATCATCAGCCAGTTTGAACTCAGTCAGCGCGTTCGGGTTAAACAGCACGTCAGGCAGCTCGCCCTTCTCCCTCAGCGCCTCCACCTCCTCTGCACTCGGCCGCTCGCTCACGCCCTTCTGAGCCATCCACCGCTCCACCTGCTCCTCCCGGCAAAACTTCTCCACCAGCTCGGGACGGAGAATCGCCAGGCGGTTGGCAGCGTTGGCAGCGCTGGCGGCGTTGGCGGTGGTGTTGGTATTGGTGCCGGTGGCAGCGGTGGTGGGGGTGGTGGTTGTGGCGGTGAAATTGGCATCGCGGGGAGTGAGGCGGATCAGATCCAACAGGTACTTCCTGCGCGGAGGGAGTAGAGGGGAGGGAGACAGGGAGGGAGTAGAAGCGGAGAAAAAGATAATGAGCAGGTGAGCTTTGGAAAGCCCGGGAATCAAAACGCCCCTCCCCTTCTGCCCAGTAGACCACTCCACCTGCCAGCACAACTTTCCTTCAACCAGCTGAGGGCGGTGCTTGGCCCCAGCTCAGGGCAGAGGATGGCCAGGTGCTTGGCCCCAGCTCAGCTGAGAGCGGTGCCTGGCTCTTTGGTCCTTCTAATCCCCTGTCCACACCTATCCGTTCCTCCACCCCTATTCGTTCCTCACCCCCTATCCTCACCTGTCATCGCCGCCCAGAATGGCCTTGGTCGCCACAGGCAAGCATAGCGTTGACCAAGACACTGCCTTGGAAGCATAGCGTTGCCTCTTTGCCCTGCTTTGTCTATCAACCACTCCGTCAGCTACCAAGACAGTCCAAAACTCAAGTGGCAGTGTGGCACTCCACATTCCCTCATCCCCTAATCCTTCATCCCAACTCTCGCATCTCTCCGCACCCCTCCCCCCACACACCTGTCATCGCTGCACAGCCCTGAATGCCCTTGGTCTCAACAGGCGAGCACAGCGTCGCCTCCTTGCCCTCCCCATCACCCGCACCCCGTCAGGTCAGCCCACCACTCGCCTGTGGGTCTAATCCACATTCCCTCACCCCCTGTCAAAATCTTTCTCACCACACAGGCACCTGTCATTGCTGCCCAGAATGCCCTTGGTCTCCACAGGCGGGCACAGCGGTGCCTCCTTGCCCTCCTCAGCCATGCAGCCAGACGCACACACTCCCATGCACCCACATCCCTCACCTTCTCGCCGATCCCTCCCCACCACTTTCCACCACGCACCTGTCATCGCTGCCCAGAATGCCCTTTGTCTCAACAGGCGAGCAGAGCGTCGCCTCCTTGCCCTCCCCGTCCGTCACCTTGTGCTCCTTCAGGTGCAGCGCTTTCCCCAGCTCAGCCACCTGGGGATGAGACAAGGTATTAGGGGCGAGAAAATCGAAGACCAGAAAAGGTGAGTGACACAAGGGGCGAGGCAGGGCGCAGGTGATACTCTCTGCCTCCCGTACATCCCCTTGTGCTCCATAAGATGCTGCGCCTTGCCCAGCTCCGCCACCTGGCACGGGTAGGGACGGAGGGAGGGATCGCCAAACAAGGATAGCAAGGGACATGAGAGTCAATCTTGGAACGTAGACCCTTATAATAGTCCAGTTTTGAGACGTCTCAAAACTAGATTCAGTTCCTATTCACTCAGAGTTTACACGTCAGTTGACTGATTCAAACTCTGTCCACCAACTGGGGTACATTGTGTACAGAACCGAGCATTGTGCCAACCAATGCACATGTGTGCCTGCACCCATGCACACACACACCAACTCCCGCAAACATAGCACCCACGAACACGCTCAGTCATTCATATCCAGACAGCACCAGACACCTCCACACCCATGCACACACCTTGGAATGAAACGAGTCGCTCCACTTGATGGTCTTGCCTGTGTCCACCGACCTGTTCAGCATCTGAGTGGTACCCTAACAGCACCTGGCATCTTACAGATGCCCAACAGCCCCTAAACACTGCCAGCACTACATGCACACAGCCTGCCAACACCCACACCACCCACACCACCACGATCGCACCTTGGGGTGGAAGGAGTCGCTCCACTTGATGGTCTTGACCATGTCCACCGACCCACAAAGTGATGCAGTGAGTGAGATGCCTCACACCCCTACCTCCCTTAACCCCCACACGCACATTCATCCATCATCGGCCAGCAGGTTCGCACCTTGGGGTGGAAGGAGTCGCTCCACTTGATGGTCTTGCCTGTGTCCACCGACCCGTACAGCATCTGAGTGGTGCGATCGCCGTAGAGGATGCCCGGGATAATGCTCTGTGATGGGGGGAAGGCAAGGCAGGTGGGGGGTACAGATGTGTACAGAAGGGTACAAGAGGGTAAGGTACTGATGACCTCGCCTGTGTCCACCGACCCGTACAGCATCTGAGTGGTGCGATCGCCATACAGAATGCCCGGGATGCTGATCTGTGATAGCAGGAAGGGGGGGAAGAGGTGGAGTGGAGACAGGGTTGGGAGAACAGGTGAATTGTGGGAATTCAGACGTGCAGTCCACCATGCCAATGGAAAACGAGTAGACTTTTGAGTTGACTCAAAGGTCACCTTGGAACTCAGGCGGACAGTCCACACAACAGCAACACGCACCTGAGCGAAAGCGAGTGGAGCCCAGGGACATCTGTAAAATGACTTACCATACTGTACAGCAGCAACACAGCAACACGCACCTGAGCAATGACTCGGTGCCCGCGGTAGTCCACAATGGCCATGGCCAGAGAGTACAGCCCAGGGATGTCGGCGTTGTTCACAGCCATGGTGCCCTTGAGGTCATTGTTGGACGATGCATACGTTGCCTGCTCTGCCTCTGTCACTGCCGCTGCTGCTGCTGCTGCATCCTCTCCTTCCTTCTTCTCCCCCTCCTCTCCTTCTGTCTTCTCCCCCTCCTTCTTCTCCCCTTCCTTTTTATCGCCCTCCTCTGCCTTTGCCTCCTCCGTCTTTTTCTCCTCTGCTGCCGCCTCCTGCTCTTTCTTCTCCTTCTCCTTCTTATCCTTCTTTTCTTTCTTCTTCTTATCCCTCTTCTCCTTCTTCTCCTCCTTCGTCTCCACCTTTTTCTCCTCCTCCTCCTCTTCCTTCTTCCCCTCCTCCTTCCCCTCCTCTCCCCCTTCCTTCTTCTCCCCGCCCTCCCCCTCCCCCTTCTTAGCAGCCTCCGCCTCCGCCTGCTGCTTCAGCTCCGCCTCTCTAATCTGCTGCAGGGCCGCAAAATCCCCGTCAACAGCCAGCGAGAAAAAGATATTATTATGGACATACATATGGAATCGATCCGCATCGTGCGGGTTAATCGGCGGGATCGACCGGCCAATCACAGCCTTCGCGCCGCGCACCGCCGAATCAGCAAACTCGCAGCTGACTCGATATAAGGCCCGGTCGCGCAGAATCCGGTCTTGTAACGAGTTACGCGGTAACTCCCTGCAGCTCTGGAGCTCCTCATTCCAGTCCCTCAACACACCGCTGAAATCAATGCCGAAGGGAGCCATTAGGGCGTCTTCGGATCGCGCCACGTCACGCGTGTACTGTAGTGGCCCCGTGCCGTCCGCGCCGCCCCAGATGGGCTTTGCTGCCCAATCGTTGGGTGGCAGCGGTGCCAGCATGTTCTCGAACGGGTGGCGGTTGGCCTTGCGCTCGATCACCTCCGCGAAGGCTGAGAAGGGGAGGGCAAATGGAGAGATGTTGAGGGTCATTGAAAGTCACTGAGCCTATTTTTGAGTCGACTCGAAAATGGAGAGATGTTGTGGGTCATTGAAAGTCACTGAGGGGCTAAAGGTGGTTAGACCTGTGCATTTGAAAGTAGTTGTTTTCATCAGCGCACCATTGGATCTTTAGACACCACAGAAAACTACAGATCGGGCAAGGGCGCAAGAATGTATATAGATGCTTGGAGGAGCATGGGAGCGGGCGGAGATCCTGGTAGCGCGGTGGTGGGTACACACTAAAAACCACGGACATGGCGTTTTTTTATTTCTTTTCCAATGTGGCTGGTGTGGGCAAATGCTGAAGCCGTCTCAAAAACAACCATACCTTTTTTTTTGGGGGTACATTTTTCCCCTCATTGTTGGTATCATATATGCCATGACCGACTGAGAGGCATACGAGGGCATAAACCCTAAACCCGGGGTGATATCTCACATTGGGACAGCATTTACCATATGGCGGGCGCAAGGAGAACAACACCAACTCTCTCAACACAGAAGTGTGTGGCTCACCTTTGGAGAAGAGCGGGCTGATCTGGCGCAGCAGGCCAATGAGAGTGGACGCGTCCATCTTGGGCTCAGCGGGGCGCGGGTCCAGCTTGCGGCCGCTGCCACTGCGGTTGACAAAGAAGCCCCTCGTGTGAGCCGTCACACAGAAGAGCTTTCCCTCTGCCGTCACCACCTCCAAATACACCAGGTCGCCCTGCAGCCTGCAAAGGAGCAGGGGGATGGAATGCGGTGGTAGGGGATGGAGAGGGGTATGAGACGTGTGCCACTAGCACTGCCACTGTGGTTGACAAAGAAGCCCGCGAGTGTGCGCCGTCACGCAGAAGAGCTTGCCTTCTGCTGTCACCACCTCCAGGTAGACGAGATCGCCCTGCAGCCTGCGAGGGGATACAGAGGGATGGGAAGCGGTTGAATTGGAAACGTAACGACAATCATCATATGTGTAATCAGCTTTCCAGTTCACCACGATCGAGCTCGGAAAATACAGGTAAAGTAAGTCTTCTGAGGCATCTTAAAACGGGGATGATCTCACCTTCTGGGACCAGGAACGGGGTTGAAGGAGGAGAGCGCGATGCTCTCGACGCACACGCACTGACTTTTGAGTTAACCCAAAAGAAAGTAATACTGTACTCCACGTGTAGCGAGGTTGTTTTTGAGACGTCTCAAAAACAACCTCGCTACAAAGTAATACTGTACTCCGCGTTCTCACCTCCTGGGGCCGGGCACGGGGTCGAAGGAGGAGAACGCAATGCTCTCGACGCACACGGGCGCGGCGTCCTCGTCGGCGCCGCCCTTCACCATAACTTTCGCGAGCACGCCCTTGGGATCATCGCCCAGCCCCACGCCCTGCTCCAGCGACGCCCACGCGATCTCCTCCATCCATCCGCGCCCCTCAAGAAAGATCAACTTACCTACCTCCTGTATTGGAGTGACTTTTGAGAATTCTCAAAAGTACCTCCTGGGCCCGTGTATGGGGTTGAAAGAGGAAACAAAAATCACGAGGAGGAAGGAGCAACCTCACCTCCTGGGCCCGGGAACAGGGTTGAAGGAGGAAAACGCGATGCTCTCCACACACACAGGCGCGGCGTCCTCGTCCGCGCCGCCCTTGACCATCACCTTGGCGAGCACGCCCTTGGGATCATCGCCCAGCCCCACGCCCTGCTCCAGCGACGCGATCTCCTCCATCCGCGCCTTGCTGCTCGGAAGCTTCGCCTTGCGCTCCCGCTCCTTCTCCTTCTCCCTCCGCTCCTTCTCCTTCGCCTCCTCCTCCTTGCTCCGCCGCCCCTTCCCCTTCTTCCCCTTCCCGCTCTTCTTCCACTCCCCGCCCTCGTCTCCATCCTTCTCCCCGTCCTTCTCCCCCTTCTCCCCCTCGCCCTCCTTCCCCTCCCCCTCCTCCTTCTCCTCCCCCCCAAGCTCGCGCTCCGTCGCGAGACCCTTAACTAGCTCATATTCCGCCGCCATGGCCGTAGATGCGCTAGAGTACGAACCCGCCATCGAAATAAGCTCCCTCGTTTTACGCACGTGCAGCCGCACCGCGCGGTCGTCGTAGAACGTGTTGAACATCTCCAGCAGGCACCCGCCGGCTGCAACGTCAGCAACCTCCCCGATCTCCACGTAATCCATGAGGTGGTAACGCAATCCGTCCGGCTTGGTGAGAATAAGGTCATACGCGGTATAGAAGCACGTCTCGGGCGCGTCGGCCAGAAACTGCTTCAAGTCCATTACTGTATCTGCGGGGTTCACCTGAACGGGCGAGTGGGGGCGGGGGGGAAAAGGAGGAGTGGGAATGAGGTGCATGAGGTCAAGGTCCAAGCACCGGGCGGTGCTTCTGCACCGCGGTACGACCTTAACCTCACCAAGCCGGACTCTCAAAAATCGAAGCACCGGGCGGTGCTTCTACACCGCGGTACGACCTTAACCTCACCAAGCCCGACTCTCTTCCTCAATCACCGGGCGGTATGCACCGCGATATACAAGCACCGTCCAGCGAGTAAGATCCGCTGGGTTCACCTGAAAGGACGAGTGGGAGCGGGGTAGTGGAGAAGGGGGGGGGGAATGAGTACGGCTGACTGAGCCTGTATCTGCTGGACCGTGCTATAGCAAGCTTGACCAAAAAACAATCAGAATTCGTAGTCAACTCTACCCTCATCAGAGCAATGAGAGTTCGCAATTTATGTGATGCTTTAGGGCGCCTCATAACTAGGTTTCTTCTGAGCTTGCTAGAAACGTCTGCGGCTTGCATACGACGACAACCTGGACGACAGACAGTTGACACTAAGACTTTTTATCTATGGCAGTGCAATGACTTTGAACCCCTCGCCAGCATCCATCACTCGTTGTTGGAACCGGTGAAAATAAGAGAACAAAAACATACCGCCAAGTTCACACTCCTGCAGCCCCATCAATCTAACTCCACTTCGGCACTCAACCACACACAACCGGACTCATCACCGCTTCTTTCCAATCATCTCCCGCTTACGCGCCGAACACTCGTACCTGCGCCGTCTCGACCAGACCTACCTGCAGTGATCTGGACCTACCTGCAATTCGATCTCCTCCCCGGCGGGTCCCTTCACCGCCAGAGGGTACAGCTGAAGCTCATCCGCGTCCTTCTTAGCAACCCCATCGCCCTCGCCCTCCCCCTCCCCCTCTTTCTTCTCCGCTCCCTCCCCCTCCTTCTTTTCCTCCCCCTCCGTAGCGGCAGCATCTACTGCGGGAGCCGCGTCGGCCGCGGCGGCATCGGCGGGCTTCTGCTCTTCCGCGGCTGCGGAAGCAGCTGGCGGCGTCGTTTCCGCGTCGTTTCCCATGACGTCGCACCCGTTGACACGTGTCAACTCCTGACGCTTAGAACGACGGTCCTACGATCAGTGTGATCACTGATTGGTCCTGGGATTGGTAATTCCGGTTAATCAACGAAGAAAGAGGGGGGGGGGGGGGGGGGGGGAAGGGGGGGGGGGGGAGGGGGGGGGGCGGAGGGGGAGAGAGAAGAACAGTACGAGTTAAAAATATAAGGCACGAGAGCAAAATGGAAATGAGTCATTGCATTGCAAAACAATGGACAGCGCTTAATATATACACACTATGTGAGATTCATATTACTACAATGTCGCCGTACTTCGCTGGAATTCCCTAAACGCATCTTATTCAAACTCACGTTACCGAGACGAGCAAGGAGCGCGGCAAATCTCGGATCAGACAAACCGAATCAACTGCCGAAGCCTAGCCGTGCTCAAATGGCCAAAATGGCCCAGGTGAAAAAGGGGGATTTCTAAATAAGAAAAGCAGTTAGTAGTAATGCCTCGAAGGATGAATGGCTAACGATTGGGGGAACGGCGGGCGGAAACGGGGGGAGGGATTGGGGAACATCTGCAAAATTCACCAGAAAAGGGGGAATGTATGCAGCGGAAGATGTAGGGGTTGGGACGGGCTGGCGGAAACATGACAGACACGGGGAACAGAAATGAATGGAGCTGGGACAAAGACTTTCCAACAGAAGGACATGTGGGGGGACAGTGGCGGATGAGGCGGGACACGTGGCGGGTTTGGGGTTCTTTGGATGACCAATCTGTGGGTGCAGCGTGGCAAGGAAACGTGAGCGGAAGCCTCAGAGTTCCACGTCAGTCGTTAGCGAGCAGAAGTCTGGCGAGAGCAATGACGTGAGGATACATTCTGCCGGTTACAGAATCCGTTTTCCAACTTTATCAGGCTACAACTATCTAATTATCCTGGTTCCTCTAGCATCAGTGAGTGGACTGTGAAGATGAGACAGTACATTACCACTTTATATAAATTTATTTACAATATATTGGATAAAATTTTCTCATTTTCATCCATTTTTATGATAAATATAATACCAAAGTTTCCCCCTTCCCCAATCCAGAAGTGAATTGTTCATGACTCTATTCAGTTTTGTACAAAAAGGGGTACAAGCACTGCAGGGCTGATGACGAGAAACTCCTAACGAACCACTTTCCGCCTCGCAACCTCCACCTCTCTCCTGAGTGGTGGTGGTGGTGTCCCTTTTTAGGGCCGATATCGAAGGGCGTGTTTCCGTGAGGTAGACGAACAGTTTCGCGTGTGACTATTCGTCCCCCATTCACGTTTCCCACCCGCAACTAGTCATGTATGCAAAGCAGCTTGTGTCGGAGAGGGAAGTCGCGAGATGGATAATACCGACTTAGAAGACGCCCTCAGTATGGATGTCTGCCCGCGCCACATTTCCTCCCAATCACCCCCCCTATCCAATCCCCTCCTTTTCCCCTCACCCCTCCCCGGCCTAAACCCTCATCCCGTCACTTCCCTTCTTCCAACCATAAATCTCCTCTGCTTTCAACTCAGCTGTATCGTCATTGTTTCTTTCCTTCTTCACTCTTCGTATCTTTTTTCCCCGACGCTCTCATTAGAGGTCATGGTCGCGGCGTGTAGGCCACTTATGCTGGTTCTAAGTGTGGTGAGGAGATGAGATGGTTTTGACAACATATCTCCTAACAGGAACCATGTGTGAAGTCGCGTGGAGGCAACCGCGCGTTAAGCCGCCATGATTGAATAACGTCTTTGACATGAACAGCTGCAGAGTTGGTTCGGCCGTTGGCAGCAACCCGCTGTAGCATTGTCCGGCCTGGAGCGAGTGTTTGTGGCTGGGAACATGTTGCTCCAATGACTTGCGCACCGCCCGGCTTCTTGATAACATGTGAGTTTCTAACTTGCGAGGTTCTGATTTGCGATGTCATTGTTGGATTTGTCGTTCGCACATTCCGATTGTGCCGTTTCTTACCGTTCTTGGTCAATGGCTGGCATATGATGCGACAATAAGCTATCACTTATGCTACACTCTGATCGGATCGATGATCCGTGTTGAAACAACCTTACACCTCTGACAATCTGATGCCAGCTCTTGTGCTAAGGCAGAAGGGAGCTTGATTGCGAGACTCACCTGCCGTCGTCCTCATTTTCGTCTATACCATGAGGCACGCTGAAAGTTCTTGCTGTTCTCGTTCTCTGATTATTGTGCGGCAGCCGAGGTTCTGATTTACGAGTTCATTATTGGCTTTCTGTAGTCCGTGCATTTCCATTATGCCGTTTCTCACGGTTCTTGATCAATGGCTGGCACATGATCGTTATTCTATCACTTATGCTCCGATCTGATCGATGATCCGTGTGGAAAAAAGCTTACACCTTTTACAATCTGATGCCCGACCTTTGCCGTCATTCTCATGTTCCTCTATGTCATGCAGCATGCTGTACTTTCCTGCAGTTTTCGTTCTCATTGATATTTTGTCGGCATGTTCGTGAGCACAGTCATTACACTCCCCCCTGGGCTGAGCTGAGATCTGATGAAGTTTCAGTCCCATGATTGTGCGAGAACTACTCGGTGCTTCGTGTTGCGGAGTAACGACTTTTTTCGTGTGTGACTCCGTGTCAAAATAGCCCGTACATTTCTTTCTAAATGCGGCACGGATCGTCTGCTTGGTGCAGCTGTTGCTCTGACGCTCAATCCGTGTTCCATTCTTGGTTTCTGCTTCTCAGGTGGAGGAGAGAAGCTTGAAATGTGATCTGACGACGACCACATCGAAGTGAGCGGATCTGAGGTGTCATCTCTCGTGGATGAAACACAACTCTGGCGTCAGAAGGAAAGACCGGTGGCCCCGAACCTCAGAAGCTTGTGCCCGTTTATCGCCGGAGCAGATTTCCATTCGTGCAAATATGTGATAGCCTAAATTGAGAAGCTGTTGTAACCAAAACTCTACTTGATGAGAAGTGTGACATCGAATTTCGACCTCGATTCATTTAAAATTCATGATACCAATGAACGGGTAGCCCGATGAGTTGCAGCCTGTTGTATCTAAAGATCGCTTTTGACGGAACATGTGAATCACCTCATATCATTTAGTTTTTCTAGTTTTCATACCTCTTCTAGGTTGGAACATGTGATGGAGCAAGCATATTTTCACCTCAAATTAAGTAAAGTTTTTATATTTCTCATACCGTGACTTTCCTCCTACGGTATAGCAGGACACGTGCTAGCATGCAAGGTTATTCCTACTCCGCTGCAGGAGCTTTCTACCTGCGATTGTGTTGAAGGCATGCTTGTCTTCTATCCCTGAGAGCTATTGTCCCATGCAACCAGCGGAAGGTATTAGGTACATAGTTCTCCTGCTAATCAACGCCAACAACTTGTGTTTTAATGCCCGGGTGAGACACGGACAATAAGTAGCACTAGAAAATTTCTGTACACTTGATATGCAGCAATTCGCGCCACACAACTACCGTAACAGCTTTGCTACTAGCTGGGAGAATAGGAGCACCTTGTTGCAAAATAACATCTCTGGTTACTCAACAGAAGATGACAACGGAAACGCCTTAGCAGCTGGAGCAGGTGCAGCTGCTGCCGCACTTGCACTCGCCGCCGCTGGCGCAGCCGCAGCCACCGGCAGCAGCGGTCTTGCATACGCAAGGCGCGTTCTCAGCAGTGCACGTGCAGCCTACTCCGCAGCTGCAGTTAGCGCCGGCGGCGGGAGCAGCGGACTTGCATCCGCAAGCGGAGTTCTCCGCAGTGCACGTGCAACCCTCCCCGCAGCTGCAGGTAGCGCCAGAGGCGGGAGCAGCAGCGGACTTGCATCCGCAAGGAGAGTTCTCCGCAGTGCACGTGCAGCCTTCGCCGCAGCTGCAAGTGGCGGCGGCAGCGGTCTTGCAGCCGCAAGGGGAGTTCTCAGCGGTGCAGGTGCAAGCCTCGCCGCAGGTGCAGGTGGTGGGAGCCATTATGCGTGTCAAAGACCAAATGAAATAGGCCGAACTCTTAAAGGTTGTCGCTTGATGAGCGTATTTCAGTGCGTGGTCTCGCGAGAGAGAGCTTGTAACAGTTGATTGAGAATCAGAATTTGGGACGTTGAGATTGGAAAAGCGATTGGTATTTGTAGGCCCGCTTCGCTACCGACGTGACGTGGAAGTGTTCGTTTTTTGCGGCGCGCTGGCGTTGAGGCAAGCGAGGCAAGCATGCGGTTGCACTGTTGGCGTGTGTCACAGAATCAACGCAGCGTGCTTCTAGAATGTTCGAAAGAGATTATTCCGGTTTCGTATTACCTTCTTGGAATGTACCACGAAGTTTTGTATTTTCCACCTCTGTTCTATTGAGCCGTAAATGTCGATGTCTGACTTGGGCTTGTCGAAGATGCTTTTAAGCCGATAACGAATGAGCGGGTTTGCGAGGGCCATAAGTGGTGTCGGCACATCGCCATGACACGTCGCAAAGTCGCCACGTCGCCTATGTCGCCACGTCTCGCACCTGATACCACATAGCGATTGAGTCTGGGCATCAAACAATGTGTGGTTACCAACTTTCGTTTTCCCGCCAAATTCACCACCTCGCTCAGAAACTGACATCCAGGTTTCAGCCTAGTGATTGACAAGCCGCTTGAGTGCAGCCTCAAGTTCAGCTGCCTCAACTTAGTTGCCTCGCTTCGTTGTAAAAGCTGTTGGTAAGAAAAGTAAGGAAAACATATCCATCTTCCAAGTCCTCGCTCGGCCTAAAGTTACTTCTTTTGAGCTTTGTATTTACGTTCTGATATATTTCCTCGTTTACCGCTGTGAAACCGCTGTGATAAGGGGCTTGCAGTGTTCGAAATCAGCGGACATTGATATGGAAACCGTAGCTTCAGCCGATGCGGGGGGTCTGGAAGTCCCGGCCGTGGAAGTCACGTCTATGCAGTTCGTATCCTGGCGAGCCTCCGTTAATCTCCAAGTTTAACCTGACGCTGCCACGTGGCAGCCGTTGCCTTCTGATTGGAGCCAACGGTGCAGGCAAGACGACTCTCCTAAGAGTGTTGGCGGGAAAGCACATGGTTGGTGGAAAGGACGTCGTTAAAGTGCTCGGTCGCTCGGCATTCCACGATACAGCTCTCTCGTGCGACGGTTCTCTCGCCTACCTCGGTGGATCCTGGAGCAAGTCCGTCGGCTGTGCGGTGAGTTAGCTCTCTCGGAATCCCGTTCTGTATAATAGCACAGTGATTATTTATAGCCTTGTGACTTTTGAGTCCACTAGGTGGAATCCACGACAACAGCTGCACACTCCTTGTTGAGTTTAAAAGCCTCACGGAAGTCACAATGTGAAACACCTATACACAGCTTTCAGGCGCTCTACGGCTGCTTCTCAGAAGCCGTAGGGTCCGAACCACTACTGTCGCACCACTCTCAGTGGAAGTGTGGCAAAGCACCACTCTCAGGCTTCTGCCCACCTCGTACTGTTGATCTCAGTTGGCATAATTTAGTTTTGAGACGTCTCAAAACTTGATCTCAGTTGGCATAATTCTGCCTGTCCCTCTCATGCTTTCGCCCATCGCCCCCTTGCACACCGCTTGCCCAGTGTCCCTCTTACTCCCTCGCCCATCGCTGATTCTCTTCCCCCCTCGCTGCAGGGCAAAGTTTCTCCGCAGGGAGACTTCAATGTGGAGCTCACGACTTACACCGTGCCTGCCTGGTGTGGACGCAACCTGCAAGGGCCATCTTGTAGAGGTGCTGGAGTCTCACCTCTCTTCCTGTTTTATTCAATTCGTGCTGTTCCTGCCATGTCTCCCCTGCTACAGGGCGAAGTTCCTCTGCAAGGCGATTTCAGCGCGGAGCACATGTTCTACGGCGTGGCTGACGTGGACGCAGCGCGCAGGGACCACCTGGTGGAGCTGCTGGACATTGATCTGACGTGGCGCATGCACCGCGTGTCAGATGGGCAGCGGAGGCGAGTGCAGATCTGCATGGGGCTGCTGCGGCCCTTCCAGGTGAGCCATGAAACTAGCCAGGTGACTCTAGCCAGAATTGCGAGTTTGATCGACTGTTCAATGTATGACCTTCTATGGCATTTGTGCCAGCTGTGCCGTGGGCCGGATGGGCAGCGGAGGCGAGTGCAGATCTGTATGGGGCTGCTGCGACCCTTCCTGGTGAGCTGCTGCTGAGGAGCCTTGGTTCAAGAAAGAATAGCCAGGTGGAGTGTTGTTGCACTTTTACCGTACCTCCTATGGAACATGCGTCCCGGGCAGGGTGGGGGGAGGAGGTCAGTGCAGATCTGCGTAGGGCTGCTGCCACCCTTCCAGGTGGGCTGCTGCGACCCTTCCAGGTGGGCTGCTGCGACCCTTCCAGGTGGGCTGCTGCTGATGGGCCCTGATTCTAGCCAGAATTGCCACCGCGTGTCAGATGGGCAGCGGATCTGTCAACTTCTGACCACCTATGGCGTCTACGCTGTGGGCAGGGTGGGTAGCGGAGGCGAGTGCAGATATGTGTGGGCCTGCTGCGACCCTTTTAGGTGAGCTGTTGCTGATGGGCCCTGATTCCAGCCAGAATCGCCAGGATTTGACATCCTATGGAGTATGCGCCACGGATTCGGTGTTAGTGGAGGAGGTGAGTGCAGGTATGCATGAGGCTGCCTTGAGCGTTGCAGGTGAGCTCTCAGTTTAATGAGACCCAACCCTAGCCAGGATCGCCAGCACTAGGTGGAGCTGGTGATATTGACATGTTGTGTGTATGCGCCGCAGGCAGGGTGAATAGCAGAAGCAAGTGAACATATGTATGGGGCTGCTGGTTATGATGACTTTTTACCTAGATGTTGGCTCCAAGCTGGAATTTTCTTCCTATATTTCCCACCCTTGCCATATGCCACAACTGCTGTTGCTGGACGAGGTCACAGTAAACCTAGATGTTGTCTCCCAGATTGACCTCCTCCTTACATACTTCCCTCCTCCTTACATACTTCCCTCCTCCTTCCCCCTTCTCATGCCACAGGTCCTGCTTCTGGACGAGGTAACAGTAGACCTAGATGTTGTCGCCAGGATGGATCTCCTCTCTTTCTTCCAACAAGAATGTGAAGAGGTGAGCTGTGATTAGTTAGAAGTGATGTTGGGGAGGACAGAACAGCTCTGGGATAGCACACTGTTGACGACCGTTGCTGGTTTATCGCACTACCGTATGTTCTGGGCCTCACAATGTTTGTCTGATTGCTGCAGGCATTGTGTAGGATGTGTATACTGGCAACCTTGCAGACTTTGAAGTCATCATCTTGTTACTCCTGTCCCCTTTCCTTGCTGTTTTCCTTCCTGTGGCAGAGAGGAGCTACTGTAGTGTATGCAACACATATATTTGACGGTCTGGAGTCTTGGGCAAGCCACCTCGCTTTTGTCTCTTCTGGCAAGTTGCAGCGGCTGGAATCAGTGGATGCGTCGACACAGCAATCTGCTGATAGCCACAAGCCACCTGCATTGCAACTACCATCATTGTTGGAAATGGTGGAGCCTTGGCTGAGGGAGGATAAGGCTAAGAGGGAGAAAGAGGTGGAAGAGGCAAAGAAGAGGGGAGATGTGCCTAAAAGAGTGGATCCATTTGCTGGTGCTGGTAGGCACATGGCATATTACAGGTAGTTGTGACTGGAACTCTGATATGATAGCATGCGGATGAAAAGTTGTAATGGTTCCATTATTCTTAGCTGCCAATACTCTTTTACATCAATTCAATCAAATATTACACATCCTACCCGCCAAAACAGTACAAAAAAACTGATTACTCCACTTATTAAACAAATCAATTCAAACATAAACGATATGACATCCTACCCACCAAAGCAAACAGTACAATACAGAACAAAAGCTGACATTCTACTCAATAAACAAGTGTTATGCATGACGATATGCAGCAAATGCGCAGTCTGTAGAGAGTACACCGCTAGTCTCATACGAGCAGGGGGTACCGTCAAGGAAGCCCTTCCCCTCTTCAGCATCAGCGGAAACGCGGCGGTGCAGGGAAGCCACTAACTTCTGGAAAACCATTGCCCTCTGCGCATGGTCCGCGCGGTAAGTCTGGCCCAGCACGCCGTGAATCGCATTCGTGTGCGCATATTCCGCCACCCCCACGTTGATGTGAACTTCCGCGTCCGTTGGAGTTTGGAACTTTGGCTCCGCTATACGCAGCTTCACGTCAAGCACCAACAACCCGTCGATTTCCAGAATATAGTGATCCACGTCGTACGGGCCTGCTTTCTCTTCACCCTCGAATGTTATCGTGAGGCCAGTGCCGTTGGATGGAACGATAGTGTCGCCCAGTTTCAAGCGCGGCTGAATCTGACCGTCAATCTCAATCGTCCTCATAAATCCGCCTCCTCGGCGCTCCTGCTTGCCGTTTCGTGCGACCAGTCGTGCGGTGTGAGTCGCACCATTCGCGAACCACACGATTCCAAGCTCCCTGTTTCGCGGGGTGGGGAAGGACGGAGGCATCGCAAAGAGAAACGTGAGCGAGAGAGGAGTTTACTGCGAATGGGAATGCTACTCAGAAAGCTGAAAGAAATAGCAAGCTTTCTGGCCCAAATCGAAGAAGTCGAGACTCACTTAATCCACGTGTGAACAGCCTTCCCATGCACAATGAGAGTGGCGTTCCTCGTGTCCTCGCTATAATATCCTCGCAGCATCATATTCACGTGAACGTCACGGTCAGTTAACAGGTAGAACGCGCGGTCCGGACGGCCGTTGAAGTCGTAGTGCGTGCCGTGGGCGCCGACAAGATGCGGGTCGTCACGCGCGTTAGGAGAACAGCCTTTCCCGACACGATGATAACCTTCGGCCCCGGGTATGTATTTCGAACAGTCCACAACACCCGTGTATCGGTAACATGTTGGAGGACTGCAAAGAAAGAAGAACGAACGGGGAACGAGGAAAGGCGAGAAGTGTAACGAGAGTGATGAGATCTCATCTCTTCGGCGGATGGAAATCAAAGCATATGCCGCCGATCTTCTTCGAACTTTTAGATAAAGTTAGGGGTGCTTGGAACGTAGCGTGGTTCCCAGCACTCACAATGCGGGCTCTCTTTCGTCTGCCAGGATGTAGGGAAAGTAGTATTGCCAAAAATCGCATTGGTTGGCTGGCGTAACGTAACTCCTAGCACTCACAAAGCGGGTTCGCGATCGTCTTTCGGGATTTCGGGAACGTATTGCCAGAAATTGCATTGGTTCCTCGCCAGTGCTCGTGTAAGATGCTTCTGTTGCCATTGGCGGGTGTTGGCTGGAGTACCTTTCAAATCTACAGTGCACGGGATTGACCTGGGCTGGGTCTAGTGCCTTGTCGATCTCCTGGCGACGAGTCGCATGTAACGCCACACTAGGACTTTTGCCGATCTATGCATCGAAGCCGTCCGTGCAATACCCTTGCTGCGGAAACAGAGTGATCGGGAAGCTGGAATTGCATCTGGAGAAAGTGACATTCACCTGGACTGTATGAACGCAGTCAGCTCAAAACATGGGGCTGTTCTTCTCAGCCGACTGCGTGATTCCGGTGCTTATACGCGTATAGTTCTGCTGATTTCGCGGGAATGAATAAGAGCCTAATCTACCGTATAAGGTATCTTCTACCGTAGTCGTGCTGTAAATCCTTAGATGTAAACAAGAAACGTGTATTATTCGGCTTGTCAATACACAGAGTGACTATCATGCGGACTACAATGTCGCTAGGATCTACCACCTCTGCCAACAGTTCTTTCAAGATGTCCCATCCCACCCACCATAGCAACACAAGATTAAACAAATCAGCCCAATAACAAAAAATAAGACTTAAATGTGGCGATATGCAGCGAACGCGGAGTCCGTAGCGAGTACACCGCTGGTCTCATAAGAGCGGGGCGTGCCATCAAGGAAGCCCTTCCCCTCTTCGCTATCAGCGGATACACGGCGGTGCAAAGCGGCAACCAGCTTCTGGAAATCCGCTGCCCTCTGCGCATGGTCCGCACGGAAAGTCTGCCCCAACATGCCGCGAATCGCATCCGTACGCGCAAATTCCGAAACCCCTACGTTTATGTGAGAGGGAAATGACGAACCGCCGTGCTTTCTCGGCTTCAATTCCAACGGGCATTGGTTTTTACAGCCCTCCTGCAACGCGATCGCGCCCGATTCCCGTGGTCAGATTTCGCCTCCAACACCGATTTTTTTACACTTTCTTGGTTTTCGTGGGCAGGCCCATGTCAGAACATTATAGCTTTTACATTTGTGTAGACTATAGTGGGGTAGCCCATAAAAGATACAACACAATTAGGGTTAGTACTTGCACCCAACTCTTTGCTAGTTCATTCATTCTCGTTCACAACATTCCATGGTTTCAAAGCAAGTCCCCTAGGACCGGTTTGTTTTTGGGCCCACCACCTGCTGCCCTGCTAGCCTAGGCCCGCGCCCGTTGCCCCTAGACCCCGGCCCGTCGCCACCCCTAGCCCGGCCCGTCGCCCCTTGGCGTCGCCCCTAGCCCCTGCCTCAGCCCCTGCCTCGGCCCCTTGGCCCCGTCGACCCCGTCGCCCCTAGCTCGGCCCCTCGGCCCCGTCGCCTCGGACCCTTGGCCCCGTCGCCCCTAGCCGAGGCCCCTTGGCCCCGTAGCCCCTAGCTCGGCCCCTCGGCCCCGTCGCCTCAGCCCCGCGGCCCCGTCGCCCCTAACTCGGCCCCGTTGGCCTCGTCTCCTCGGCCCCTCGGCCCCGTCGCCTCGGCCCCGCGGCCCCGTCGCCCCTAGCTCGGCCCCTCGGCCCCGTCGCCTCGGCCCCTTGGCCCCGTCGCCCCTAGCCGCGGCCCCGTCGACCCCGTCGCCCCTAGCTCGGCCCCGTTGGCCCCGTCTCCTCGGCCCCTCGGCCCCGTCGCCTCGGCCCCGCGGCCCCGTCGCCCCTAGCTCGGACCCTCGGCCCCGTCGCCTCGGCCCCTTGGCCCCGTCGCCCCTAGCTGCTGCCCCGTCGACCCCGTCGCCCCTAGCTCGGCACCTCGGCCCCGTCGCCTCGGCCCCTTGGCCCCGTCGCCCCTAGCTTGGCCCCGTGGCCCCGTCGCCCCTAGCTCGGCCCCTCGGCCCCGTCGCCTCGGCCCCGCGGCCCCGTTGCCCCTAGCCGCGGCCCCGTCGACCCCGTCGCCCCTAGCTCGGCCCCTCGGCCCCATCGCCTCGGCCCCTTGGCCCCGTCGCCCCTAGCTTGGCCTCGTCGGCCCCGTCGCCCCTAGCTCGGCCCCTCGGCCCCGTCGCCTCGGCCCCTTGGCCCCTTCGCCCCTAGTCGCGGCCCCGTCGCCCCTAGCTTGGCCCCGTCGGCCCCGTCGCCCCTAGCTCGGCCCCTCGGCCCATTGGCCCCTCGGCCCCTTGGCCCCCAGGCACCTCGGCCCCTCAGCCCCCCTTGGCCCCTCGGCCCCTCGCCCTTAGGCCCCTTGGCCCCCCCCTTGGCCCCTCGTGTTTGGCCCCTCGGCCCCTAGCCCCTCGGCACCAAGGCCCCTCGGCCCCTCGTCCCTAGACACCACGGCCCCCAAGGCACCTAGGCCCCTCGGCCCCTCGGCCTCTCGCCCCTAGGCACCAAGGCCCCTCGGCCCCTCGTCCCTTGGCCCCTCGGCCCCTCGTCCCTTGGCCCCTCGGCCCCTTGGCCCCTCGTGTTTGGCCCCTCGGCCCCTAGGCCCCAGGCCCCTCGGCCCCTTGACCACTACTGCTGCTACTGCTGCTACTACTACTCCTGAGTACTGCGCCACTATGGCTTCGCTTCGAGTCCTAGCGTTCGATCATGAGGGCAGACCGGTTGCGTTTGACACGTGGCTCGACGATCTGCAGCTGTACCTACTGAGTGATACTACGGACAGTGTTTTGCTGTTTGACCACGTGTCCGGTGCCGTTACAGCCCCTCCCGCCACAGCTGACAGTGCGACTCGCTCACAGTGGCTTTCTCGCGACGCTGCTGCCCGCTTAGCCATTCGCAACCACCTGCCGGTGGCCGAATGCGCTCACTTCGGACAGCACAGGACCACACAGGCACCGTACGACGCGGTAGTCGCTCGCTACTCCTCCCCTGCCACTACTGCTCTAGGTCGCCTGCTTCTGCCCTATCTGTTCCCCGAACTGTCTGTGTTTGCCACAGTAAAAGACCTGGTTTCCCACCTGTGCGCTAGCGACGCTCGCTACTGATCTGCCCTCCCAGCTGAGTTCCTTGCAGGGAACCCGCCCCCGATGTACATCCATCTCTACTTCGTAGTCACTCGCCTCCCTGACTCCCTTCGCTCTGTCAGGGACCACTTTCTCTCTCTTGACCCCACCTCCCTCACTGTTGATCTCCTCGAGCAGCATCTCCTCGCAGCTGAGACTAGTGCAGTTGATGTAGGTGCTGCTCGTGGCACTCCGCGTCCGCCCTTCTTTGAGGGGTGCTCCCCCTCCCCCTTTGCCCCCTCCTACGCCTCTGCTGCTGCTGTAGACATCTCTGTTGCTGAGGACGTCGGGGCTGCTTCTGCTAGTGCGAAGCGCCGCAGCATCAAATGCAAGGGTGGCAAGGGTGGTGGGGGTGGCAGCGGTGGTGGTGGAGGTGGCAGCGGGAGTAGTGGTGGGGGCAGCGGTAGAGGTGGTGGCGGCAGTGGGACTAGTGGAGAAAGTGGGGGTTCTGGTGACAG